TGGCAAGCTAGGTAGCTACGTAGATACGTAGCTACGGCCACGGCTACTGCGACTACAGCTACCATCACGACTACTGACTTCTGCTGCTTCCTGCCTCTGCTGCTGCTACTGCTTGTTCTGCTGCTGCCATTTACAGTAACTGCTTCCTCAAAAGCGGTTGGTAATTCTTGCAGCTGCATGCAGCCGGGCTGCTGAGCCAGGCCAGTCGCATCATGCCCGACAGATCTCCATGAGCTTGGTGCCGCTCTCGCGCCATGTCGAAATAGAAGGCCGCCTGTCATCCGCTTGTCTCGAGGTTTCGCAAAAATCCGAGCTGAACTGTTCTGCCAAACCTCTCTCCGAAGGCCTTGGGGTATGCAGCCAGGTAGTAATGCAAAGCACCCAGGTGATGCAGCAGCTCTGCTGACTCCAGGGTCTCGCTGGCATCAGCTTCACGAAGGACCTGGCACCATGTTAGTTTGATATGGGGGTTTCGGAAAGTAGGGGACCCTAATATGGTACCCTGAATGCTAGGATCCTTATTGTAAAGGCCCCTACATGAGGTGGGTGCCCCTTATTCTCGGAAACTCCCATATTGATTAATATAGTAACCCTTGTGTGAAGGGTTTAAGGCAACCCCTTGGTGTCTAAGCGCCTTCCAAGCTTGCTGCAGGGGATATATGCCATCTTCGATGCAACCTTCGCCGAACAGCGAGACAACAGTGATGCGATGCTCCTATTCTTGTTATGATTATTGCTTTTACTCTTCTAAAATCACAACAAAATTCTTACAATCAATGACAAGCATTTGTTTGGGCTCTCTCTCTCTATCGCTCTAGAATTCGCCTGCTTTCTCCAACGCGAAGCTCATGCTTCGCAGATTCCGCAGTTTATGTGACCAGGTGAGCTTCAAGTTTCCAGACGCCGTCCGATCCAGGATTTCGCTCGCCTCAAGGGATCAAGCATTTAGACGAGGGTTTACGCTCTCGCAACTCGGACAAGCCAGACGAACAAGCCAGACGAGCTTCTTGGTGAGCAGTCGGACTAGGGTAGCGGGTTCTCCGAGTTAGTTCAGCTGAAAGACAAGAAATTAATGCGACAAAGTACCCTAACTCGGATTTAGATGAGGGTTTAGGGTTTAGATGAACATTGGGGGTACTTAATTGCAGCTTAGAAAGGGCTTTGGGAGATCTTACAGCAAAAAGCAATGAAGTGGTTTCAAAGCTGCCCGAATGCCCAGTGATAAGTTGAAGTTTCTACAAAGATGTCACTATTCAGCTTCCGTATTCGGATCCCTTCCGCAACTGCCATAAGCGATAGCCTGCCTTCTCAAAGTGTCTCTGGGAATCCTGTGTTCTTCGGAGTCCAGCTGCTGCGATGGCCATGTCGAAAGACAGGGTGCAGGCCTGAGCAATGAGAAATGGAATCAAACTTCGCGAGGGTCTCCACAGAAGTGGGGAGTTTGAATCGGGAGGCTCCATACTGTTTGCCAGTTGCTTGGCTTTGCCTCCACTCTGTTGTTTCGCCCCGTGAAAATCTGCCTGTTGCGCATACTCCTGTTGAGCTTGTTCGGGGTATGCGAAGAAGATGGCAGCATTTCTGGAGCCTCTCGGGATTGCACTTCCTCCAGCCAGCTCGGTTGGAAAAACACGCTCAACACAAACTGAGGAGCTCCCCGGAAGCAGCTGCACATCTTGCGCAAATTTCTTGTGCGAGACTGTGAAGCTGAGTGACCGGCATCGAGTGTCGCTGTGGAGTTGTACTTCCTGACGGGCATAATACAAGAAAAGAGCATGAAGCGAACTTCTTCAGCCAGGGCTCTCGAGTATCTCCCAGGCTTTGCTGTACTCCTGCAAGGCCTCTCCGAAGCGGCAAAGACTGGCCTGTGCTCGCATCTGACAAGCGAAAAGGTGTTCATGGGCTCTAAAGGCTTTTTGGTTGCTAATTGGCGTTGTAGGGTCTGAGCTTGGCACGTAGGTGGCGCCGTACTGCATGTAGAAGCCAGAAGCCAGATCTGGAGGGCTTCCGGCCACTTCCAACATCCGCTCAGCTGGTGCCAGGGTGGCCAAAGCCTGACTGTAGGGTTGCTAATGCGGCCACGATAAGGTTACTCTTTGGAGTCTATTCGAGGTTGCCATGACAGGGTATACCAGGGTTACAACGAAGGTTGCGGTACGTTGTCTTTGTTGGCTTTCCTGGGGTGTTGCAGTTGGGAATCAACGCCACGGCAAGTGAACCTTCTCATTCTTCTCGTGCGCGGTGTAGTTTGCAGCATGCTCCATGAGTAGTTCCACGCCCAAGGCGAATTTCAGCGGCACCTGTGAAAAATCGAGATTGTTCTGGCCGGCATGCTTCACAAGCTCATGTAAATAGGTATGGTTCCTTTTTGCTACTGGTCTCGAGTCTAGCCAGTCTACGACCTGCAATCATCTTGACCAAGGCCGACGTGCAGCACCGATACCAAAGCCACAAACCCAAACCCTGTAGAACCAACCTTGTACTTTTTACAGTAAACCTCGGAGACTCTTTGCTTTCCATTGCAGCTTCGTTTTCCGCTTTGCTTCCCACTTTCCACTGAGCAGCAGGCCTCTACAGCTGCCGGGGCTTGTGGCACAGAGGCCTGCAAAGCCAACGCGGACTCTAGCATAGTCTGCAATCTTATCTACCGCAGTATATACTGTCTCCGTTCCCGGGTCTGCAAAACTGACAAAATGCGGCCGGATTCTGGCCTGGCTGGTCTTCCCGGTGGTGTAGCCCAGAGCTGCCTCTAAAAGTGAAGGGAGCGCACGCATGAGAACAAGCGCACGAGGAGGGTAGACTCGACGGCAGGCCTACAGAGCATCCTTTGATGGCTCATACTAATCACTAGATCCCGACTGCAGCGACTTGGCGTGGCATGTCCTCGTTTCAGTACGACATGTCCATACGGGCCATGACGCTCTTGCAATTTTTGGATTGTCCACTCATTTGCACACGATGCCACACGGAAAGCCTCAAAACTGGGCCGTGACAGTATCAATCAAGGTTGGCAGGGTCTGAGGTCGGCATGGTAGATTACAAGACGGGCAAGCAAAGATTCAAGGAGCATCATCCCAACGGCGCCTGACAAAGGGAATCCAACATGCACACTTTCGTAACGAGTCTTTGCACCCGAGCAGCTGCCATGTCTGAGAAGCGCTCTGCTGGGGAGGACGTGCTCGAACTTTCATCCACGTCACTTTCTCGACTGAAGCGGCCGCAGTGCAAACACCTCCGACAGACAGCAAGATTGCGAAGCTTCAAAGTTGGCCGCGTGCGGATAGGGTTCCTGGCCTGTCGGCTGAGGGACTTTGGATCGTAAAGTCACTTGACGGTCTCAGGAGACAGGCAACCAAAAGCCACAGACCTCAGCAAGTATGAACCCTGACAAGCGACTTATTGCGCGCCCTTATGTAACTGTATGTGTGTGTATCTCTCCCTCCCTCTCTCTCTCTCGCTCGCTCGCTCGATGCCGGGGAAGAGTCTGCAAGCAGACCCGGGCCAAGGCCCCCGCCTTCCTCTCTCTCTTTGGGAGGTAGGGTTGGCCCCTACACTCCCTGCGCGCGAGCGCTACGCCGTTGTCCGAGTCTTGTGTGAAACTCTCTCTCTCTCTCTCTCTCTCTCTCTCTCCCCGCCGTAGCTGGTCTAACACGTGCGGAAGTGTGACGGCACATCTAAGTCAAAGAGCTGTGGCTCCTGCGTCTGCATGGGTTTGCCGATTTCCTCGGATCGTCACATGTGGTCGCACTTTACGGGCTGATGTGGAAACACGGAAAGCCTGCCTCCTTTCGCAACTGTTACGTGCAACACACCTCATGCGACAGTTGTGGTTTAACTTGAAGACGTGCATCTTGTCATTCCGGGTCTTCTGGACCGTCACCCCACGCTGCATGTCACCCCACGCTGCATGTAGCCCAAGGCACACTTTTCTGAAAGGTCCACTCATGGAAACTCGTGCGGTGCTTGAAATGTCGTTGAGCCTATCCCAGGTCTGGCTAACAAACAGAAAGCATATGTTGCTCTCTAAGGGCAGCTTGAGCCACATGGGTTTTGTCGGCGCTCCGGTGCTGACAAGACTGCCATGCCATCTGCATCTCACCATGCTTTATGGCTGGATGATACTGGATGGAAGGATGTATCTCTTGAACCAGAATTCCCAGGTTTCGTTCAAGTAAATCAAGAAAAGCCGCAAAGCCACAACCCCAATTACCCACGATCTGCTCTGCGGCACTGGCAAACAGTGCCTGGCGGCCCGCCAGTGCCACGCACGGCCATCAAGCCAACATGGGAATTTCCGAAAATCAGGAGTTTGTACTTTATGTTTTGGGGTCTTTTTTCCCTCCATATTAGCCATATTTAGGGTCATTGTGATAAGGTTTTCGGAAACTCCTATACGATAAGGTGCAGCATGTCCTTAATCCCTACCACACCCATTTCCGTCATGCCCTAAACTCGAAACCCAAACAGAGGATCCTGTTTTGGGAACTGGCTGGCATTCTGAAGCCGCCAAGGCTGCCCCATGAATCGCATATACTCTCCACATGGTGGCCAGATGTGGCCATTGTGCAGCTGAAGCCAAAGGCGAGGTTAGGCAAAAACCATATTTGTTTATGTAGATCGGTATATTTTCGTATATATATATATATATATCTGTATATGTTTTTTTATACATATATATATGAATTCGATGTATATAAGTATTTATGTAAAAATAATTGCATATACGTGTATATATATATATATATATGTACATATGAACATATATGATAAAAAAACATATGTTGCTTGCGAGGTTTGCCTTGCGCGACTTCTGCTCCGAAATGTTTAGGATCTTCGTTTTGCGAGAAACTGGAGGTTCCAGCAAAGTCGATCCCTGTACCGAAACCTGTGTTGCTGAGAGGTGCTTGAACATCATGCGCGTGATGGGCTCGAATGTAGTGCGGTACTAAGATGTACTAGGGTACTATGTGCTAAGTGCCTCAAGGCTCCTTTTCCAAATGCAAGGAGATCACCAGAGAGATCTGCCGGTACCATCCGCAACTCACACAAAGCACGGCCCAGAGCGCCCGGGCCAGAATGCTTGCTCATTGTGGGCTATGTACATCGCCACTTTCGGGCAGGCCCCAGAACAAAGCAGTTGCACGGCTTGTTACGGACATCGGGTCTGTCGGCCAACCAGGGCAAAACATAGGGGCACACATCAGGACGAAACAGTGTCTGGTTACAGTACGAAGTCGTCTAGTTTTACTCAACCGCACAGCTGGAAGATGCTGGAAGCGTCTAAGATTCCTGGTTTTCAGGCATCTGCTGACGCCTCATCCAAGCCCTGGCTCGCCATCATCATTGCCTCAAGCATGCAGGCACTGCAGGGAGGCAGGAGAAAACATGTCTGGTGATTCAATCACAGCTTGCCAATCCCTGCTGGGGCATGCGGCGCCGGCCAGCTTCTTGTTCTTTTTCTTGGCGGCTCGTTCGCGGGCCTTTGGGATAACAGCACTTGATGCAGAATTCTTGTGATTCTAGTGCGCATGCGCCGCCGTTCAGACACGCGCTCCCACCGAAGGACAGCGTTGACCCAAGACTGAGCCAGGAACTCCTCCGCCAGCAGGCGCAGGCGGCACGCCTCTCGTTTTTGATCTTGTTTCTTGGAGGGGAGGCGGCTCGAGTGGACCCGCGGCCTCTTCGCATCCGGCTGACCGCACCAGCTGTTCTTTCTTGCCTGGCTCTGCAAACGGGCTAGCGGGGGCCCCTACACTTAATTACCAAGAAGGCCAAGAAGTGAAAGCTTAGCCTCCGACTCCAAAGCTAGAATGTCCTTGGCATCTGCTCGGCGACGCTCGAGCTGTGCTTCCTAGTCAAGCAAGGGTGTTGTGTTGGAGACGTGCACACGTGGAAAGGAATGGCAACTTATGAATGCAACTTGCCCTCGCAATTTTTTGTTTCGGAACTTTGGAATGCCAAAGCCGCTTGCTCATGCAAAAGCAAACCCCTGACCGTGTCGCTCTCGTCGTAGATGTAGTGCTCCTCGCCTGGCAGCGCGAGAAAACAGGCTCGATTTCGGCCACAACCAGACGCGGAAATATCATACGAACCAACACTCCTCGTGACGGTGCTCAACAAGTTGCTGCAATTGTACCTCTCTCTCCTACCGTCATCAAGTAAGGAGCGGCGACCTCCTCTCCTTGTTCCTTGGGTGCTGAGCACCCCTGCCCGGAAAAGGTTAACCTTTGTTATTTGTGGTAGGATTATATCAACCCGAAAAGGTTAAAGGTTACTACCTCCCAGCCCTCCCAAGCAGGTTTCCGAAGCAACGCCAAGGCCACTGATCTCCTCAGCATCCTGACAGCGGAGTTTCAGTTAGGAGCGCTCAAGTAGACTGACTGGTGGGATCCTGCTTTGAAAATGCCTTTAAATCTCAAGTCCCCCATGTCTACGGTTTCTAGCAGAACGACTGCAGGGAGAATCTGTGGGAACTTCGGAACTCCCGTCCTGGCCACCAAAGTTGAGCACCTCCTGCTGCGAGTACAGGCACTGCGAGGTGCTGTCGGAGCTGCGTTCACGTTGTCGGGCCTTCTCTAACCGTGTGCTACTCCTGCTACCCCTCAGCACTATGGGGCAGTCCGGCATCCCGAAGTTGAAGCCGAAGTTGAAGGCCGAGGGCTCAGGCGGTGCAGGCGGCTCAGGCTCCAACCTCTCCAAGTGAGTGCAAGTCGCAAGCATCGCAAGCGCCAGCTCACAAACTCTCGGATCGACCAGGGGCCTTTGCGGCTCGGGCTCTTGGGGCTCTTGCTTCACCACCTCCTCCTTGACTTTGGCCTCGGAAGCCGCGAGAAAAAAAACAACCGCGCGTGCTCTTGTGGATCAGATGTCCCACTCAGGCCGGCTCTGCATCCTTCTTGCCTCGCTTCCGCGCTGCCCTTTCCCGTGCCTGCAATTCTTATAAGCTTAGGGCTTAGTGCCTCCTCTTCCCGAGTGATTTGAGGATCGGCGGTCTGAGGTTGCGACACCTCCTCCTGGAGCGGCTCCTTGCGTATGGGCGAGTGTGCATGGGCGTCGTTTCGGCTGCGGCTATCAGGCGCACTTAACTCGAGATTGAACCCGACGTCCTCGCCGCATGCGAAGGAAAGCGCCTCCATCCATCCGCTCCTTCCTGCGGACTTCACAGTCACAAAACTTAGCAGTCTTCAGGCCGGAGATCTGAGGATCCCACTCTTTGGCGATGATGTCTTGTGCTTCCTGCTGACGCTTCGCAAGTCTCTCGTCCTCGGGTCTTCGGCATGAGCTTCTGCGCATGTTTCTCTGCTAGATAGGCATGTTGATGAGTCTCCTGACATGGAGTAGATCTTGAGAATATGATCTGTGTTTGCCTTTGCCCTGCAAAACCCCTGAAGCTGAAGGCTTGGGCCCAAGCGTTGTCGCTGTCACCATATATGTTGTACTCCTCACCTGGCATCCAGACTTCGCCCCGCCCAGTGCGCTGCAGCGAGTCCCGGCTTGGCTAAGTCTATCGAACGGGCCAATGCCGCTGCTACCATCCTCCTTGGAGTCCTGCCATGAAACGCACGCTGAGTCACTGAGACACACTGGAGATGCATCAAGCTTTTGATTCCACTCGAACTGACTACTAAAGCAGCGACCTGCATGAAGCCAAACAAGTCCGTGACTTCGAAGTTGAGGCCGAAATTCTCGAAGGTGCGGGCTGTCTCTGCTGTGTCATCCACCCTTGCAGATCACACTCGCACACGGTACCAACCGTAATGAGCTAGATTGATTGACGCACCTGCGAGCTTGAGTCCCGATTTTGCTTCTCTTGGCTGTTGCTGGCAATGGCGTGAATTTGCGTGAGACAAAGCACCTTGTACTGCTGGGTTTATGTAGCTTCAAGGAGTGAGACGGTGTCATGAGCTCCAAATGTCCACGGTCACTACAAAAGGCAACTCTCGTAACAGTCTAAAGAATCAGGAAGCGGGATCTGCGATCTTGTGCCGCAGCAAGCTAGGGGTCGAAGCCTTTGGCTTCCAAGGTCAAGCAGTCTGCAGGTGTTGCTGCAGTTGCGAGGTCGTGCTGCTGTTGTACCATTGCGCTGCCTGTGGGTCTTCCAGCAAGCAACTGGTGATGGCTGTTACCCAACGATGCCATGGGTCCACAAATGCATTGCGTTGGGGGCAATGAATATACACCTCACTCTGTGCCACGTGCATAATGGCAGTTCGGCAAGCGCAGAGTTCCGGCCACGGGCATGCTACAGGCCTCGGATTGAGCTCTTGGCACACTTGGCAGAGAACGAAGAGATTCGTGGTGTAGCCAGCCATTTCCGCGAGTTTGGGTGAAGAGCCAAAGTTGCAGAATTGATCCTGAACCAGCTGCACATTACCGTTCTCAACGACCTCAGCCTGGGCAGCAGCATAAATCGCCACAAGCTCTGGAGCGGATGCGTTGTTGCATGCCGCATCTGCGGCCGCAATGCGAAGCTCAAAGTCCTGCATAGTACAGGCGTCATGTCCAGTAGAAGTGCGAAACCCAAAGAAGCCATGACTATGACTCTTTCCTTGTCTTTCCTCTCCCCTGCCCTCTAACCTGACGCATCCGAAATGGCCCTGGAAGCATGCGTCCTGCTGCCGCCCTCAAACATTCCCTCCCACAAATGAAGCGACAATCCACAACAGACTGACTGACTGTTTAAGACACACTGCTTCTGTCCTGGACTTGCTGGGCTGTGAACTGCTCACTCGTGCTGCACGGGGTATTGTATCCCTGAACTTTGCGCAGCCTCTGGTTCAATCCATCTGAGATTAATAGGTCGCCCTTGGAATCCACCGCGCAACTGTAGGGCTTGTTCAAGTAAGACTCCAATGCTCTGTCAGCCTCCTCTGCGTAAGCATCAGCCTCGCTGTAGCCGGCTACGGGCTGCAGCCGCGGCCGCATCTCCTCCTTGATGTAGACACTGGTCATGTCACTTTCGGACAATAGTTGTATGCCTACCTTCCTCAGAAGGTAGCAGCCTGGGAAAGCTATGCCGGTACAGTCCGGCTCCTGCAAACACAGTTCCTGACAGTCCAGAAGGAGGAGAGCCTTGTTCATGTTGCCTCCCTGGATGGTGTCCTGAGAATACAGGAGGCTACCCTCTGATGCGACATAGATGCCGCTTTGATCCCCCGTCATCCGGGAGGCCGGGACGCCTGGCCCAACGAAAGCATTCAAGGCTGCTGCCCGGTCTGTTGCATTCGACAAATTTGCATCTCCATTTGTGTCGAACGGTGCAACAGTGCGATCAATGGTGTAAACATAGAACGGATAGTTTTGGGTGAAGAAGATGCACGGCTGGCCCTGGCTCAATAATTCTGGCTCCTCTTCGTCCACTCCTTTAACCATAAAGCCGCTACAAGTGGAATCAAACTGGCAGCGTGACTTGCAGAATTCGAGAGTGGACCTCGGCGTGGCGGTCGAGGTCAAGCCTGATGATTCTCGAGAGTTGAAGACCAAACTCTCCAGCTCCTCCCAGACTGTCAGCATGGTGACGATGGGTCCTGGACCAGGACCACCAGGACCGGTTTGGTTTGTAGGTGCCGGGTAGTAGGACTCCAGAATGCTGACGTTGTCCACGCTTGCGAAAGCGCACACATAGCCAGTTGCGTCATGGCTTGGCACAGCGGAAAGGATTGTGAGGCCACAGCATGTTTCACTGCATGGACCGTTCCCAAAATCGACGAAGCCCTTGAGGATTGCTGTTCCTCTGAGGAAGAAGTTGGCGGGCCGCCGCGAGAGCAGATTTGGCACATACTCGTAGGGACTGCCAGCAGTCAGCCATAGATCTGAGGTCAAGTACGACATCACACTTTGTACACCCGGCAAGTCCAACCAATATCTTGTCTCGAACCGCTTCTCATTACCTCGGCTTGCATGTGCGGACCCCTTCATTCCAAGGTGTCTTGGAGCACATGGGCATGCGATCGTACCGACATCTATCATCTACGCGAGGATTTCTGTACGTGACAGCCCCCCGACCCTCGAAAGGAGTTTGCTGTGTAGACAGCCAGCACGGAGTCTTATGGCTGTCCCCATTCCTTGCAGTTTTTGGCTCTTTCAGTTTCTGTCTCTGGTTGCTGTGATGCTGTACATCTCTTGACATGCCCCAACTCAGGCAGAGCCCACGTCAAGCCGCACCCTGCGCCGATTTCAGTGCCTTTCCGATTACTCTATACTCTATACGGGCCGGGGCAAGAACGTAAACCTGCAAATCAAGACTGTTGTGATGTGCTGTGACCTTCCACAATCAAAAGCACCACACCATTTTCTTATGGGAGCAATTTGCAAGATGCAACAGAAACAAGTGCTGGAGCAAAACGGATGTCAGGGCTTCTGCATCGACTCGCTCAAAGCCAGTGCTTCAACTCTGCGCCTCTTTCCATTTTCATTTCGGTGTCACGATGATGACGATTATAATGATGGTGAGCGTTACGCCACTATTGTCTCTATACCGGGGAGCTCTGCAATTGCAGAGAGCATCAGCACACATCAGCACTCAGGGTGCATTCCACTCGGTAAAACACAGGGTCGAGAATGGTCAAGTGCATTCTACTCGGTGTGAAATGCAGAGTCCGTGCCCGCGACAGCTGGCAACACACATGGGCGAACACGTTTCCGTGACTCCAGGCTTGTGTGACTGAGGGCGCGTTCCACTCTGTAAGACACGGGGTCGAACAAGTGTCCGTAACTCCAGACTTGAACGGTTAATGCTCTGATCTCGCGATTTGGCACTTAGAGTCGCCTAGATCACACAAGATATACGACATCGGCGACATGAAACTCAGCAAAGATGTGCTTAAGCATCCAGGTGCCGATGATGGTTGCTTCAGGGACAAACTTCCACGAGGTTGCTGTGTGATCCTGAACGTCAGCATCGCACCAAAGCCAGCGATTCTCTTCGCACATGTCTCTTTGACTTCCGTCGGGCATGGACCTAGTGTTTGCGTAGCACCACTTGGGATAGGTGTCAGAAAACACCCTGCCGCAGTAGTCTGTTGCAGAGCACTGTTGCTGTGCGGCCAATGCCTCTGTAATGTTGAGAACAGGAGTCGGACTAGATTCAAGGATGCTTTGAAGGAGCGGATTTTCTCTGCACCTCAAGATGTCGAGCTGATAGTCGGTGCTGATCCATGCACCTGGCAAGAAGAATTCACCGCTGCCGGACTCCTCAAGGCCAACCCAATACTGTTCGCAGAAACATCCGCTCGCCGTGGATGCATCTACAGAGTTGATCGAATCCTTGAACTCATCTGTGTCCTTAGTGATCGCGGGCGGGCTTTGGGGTCTCGAGTCGCAAGTTGCGAGCTTTGGAGGGCTTCTTGAGGGGAATATGGCCAACCATTGAAGGATTCTCGTAGTCTACATCATGATAGCCTCATCGCCGAGTTTCCATCAACATCACTTGACTGTCCTCTGTATCCACGAGGTACATGTTAGAAGCGTGGTCTAAACACATGCCCATCAAGCCATTGAATCTTGCTAGTTGGGCGCTGTTCTCTTCACAGCCCTGGTCGGGCTTCTCCACTTGGCGTGTGGGGCACCAGGTCTCATGTGCTACTGGCGCACCATACATCCAGTAGCTGTACCCCACCTGGTGAGGGGAGACACTGGTCTCCACTTGCATGGCGCTCGACGATGCAAGCTCTGGAAACTCCAGTGGGAGCCACGTCTTCAAATTGTTTGCCCAAGTCAGCTCCATGTTCTGACGGTCCTCCGCAGTGGTGTTCGCTTGCGTGCTGTTGTCTTTGAACGAAGACATGGCCATCCTAGCCAGGAAGTTTCCAAAGTCGCCAGCCAGCCGAGTGATGCTCCTGTTCACCAGTGGTGCCATGAATATCCTGTTGTTGTCACTGTCTATGGTCCAAAGACGATCGTGCTTGTCGATCAAGACGGCATACATCGCCCTCAAGTGGAGGTGCTCATTTCGACTTACGAAATGACCAGGCAAAGTCACTTTGGCAATGCCGCGGAAAGACTCCCACATTCCATGGCTCGATGTCCACTCAGAATTCCCCAAGAAGGTCGTGACGCTGGCATTGGGGTTATTGAGCGGATTTCCCAAGCTTGTTGTCAGTCTGCGAATCTTTCGGCTGCCGGAATCCACGAAGTACAAATCCTGGTTTGATGCAAAGGCCAAGGAGCGGGGATTCCAGAGACTTGTTTCCAAAGCAGGGCAGCCACTGTCACAAAGTGGGTCGTCAGCCATGCCCCCATTACCTGCCACTGTGTAGATCACCCACTCGTTGGAAGTGCGCACCAGCTTCCGGATGCGCTGATTCACGAAGTCAGCAAAGTACAGCTCTCGACCCACGTTGTCGGGGCCGACGCTCAGCCCAGGCTTCAATGCCAATCCCTCCGGCTTTCTCAACTGGGCCAAGCGTGCTGGACCTCCATCACCTTGAAAACCAAGCTCCCCCGTGCCGGCGATCGTCACAAGGGCATTCCGGCTCTGGTCTAGCATGCCTGAGCACGCAGATGCGCAGAACAAAAGCATGAACACTGTGCACAGTGACTCCCAGGAACCAACAAACAGAATTAGCCCCTCATTTCTAAATGTCAATGCCACTATTGACGAGCAAGGGGAAGGCTGTGATGAGCAGCAGAAGGCCATAAGAACCCGATGTGTGTGTGTGTGCGCTCCAGTGCATCCACGCACTCACACGTTTTATGCATTTCTGCACGACTTTGTGTTTTACTCTAAGTATGTGGCTAGAATGCATGGAATGGTTGTGTACTCTCGGGAGCTGTGCTTCTGCGCTCGTGGACGTGGGCCCGTAGGCATCTTCATGCGAGAGCATACGAATCCCGTGTAGGTGCGTAGGTACTGTCCAACTTAGGCTGCGAAGGGAACCCGTCACCACTTCTACGCTTCAATCCGAGCTTCGGATTCTGTTATTTCCCTGATCCGAGAAATAGATGTTGTCCATCTCGTCAACAGCGAGGCTCACTGCAAAGGCAATTGACGACGCATCGGCTGCTGCACAGTCTTGAGTGGCGGTACGACAATCCCCATAGAATAACTGAATGCCATTTCCCGCCACATTGCTGATTGATGCGCATTTGGACAGCACTGGGCATTCCAAGCAAGAGGTCACTTCGCCCTCCATGCATCTGTCAAGTACATAACTCCAACCAAGGCCATCTCCACCACCCGAACAAGTACATGTCAACGGAGTTCCCAATGGTGCCAGCGGGTAGGAGGCTTCAGCCAGAGCAAAGAAAACATGTGCAAGGATTGGCTGCAAGCGGCCCGGCATGCCAGGCTGCTAGGCCGCGACTAAAGGACAAGTCCCATCGTTAATCTATGACATCTCTGAACCTAAAGGAGCTACGACGACTGCAGTCTGCAGAAAATGGCCTCTCTAAAACAGCATGTCAGTGAAGCTAGGCGGAAGATGATTCGAACGAACCGCCTCTTGGCAGCTGCCCGGAGCTTCTCCAAGCCTTTCCCCATGTTAGGGTTGGCTTGACCTTGCTCTCTGCACTCCAAGACAGTTCTACAGAAATCGGCGGCATGTCAGACCAGCTTGAAAACAATCAGCTCTTTGAAGCACTGGGGAGCCAACGCCCAAGGCGCTTCCTCAGTCGTCATCCGTGTGAAACTCCCGTATTTACCAGTGCTTGACCTGGCTTTCTGGCTCTTTCTGGCTCTGCTGCCCGGATCTTCCCCAAAGCCCCTTCAGCTGCGGCGCTGGTCGCGCTTCTGCCGCACGTCAGACTTCGCTCGTTCCTGGGACACCAGGTAAAGCTTCAGAGAGGATGCAGTAATACAGTATGCTGTGGAAATGCTACGTTCTGAATACTTACACAGGCATACACGTCTGCACTGGACACCACAGGAACAGCAAACCAAAATATACACACGCGTGCGACTTCGTACATGCGTACATGCATGCATACATTCACGACATGCCTTCGTACATGTTCTTGACACAAGCCCTCACCCCTTCCACAAGCACGCCCCGGAGAAGCCAACTCGAGAGGCAGCTAACTTCATTCGTTTCATTCTCCCATACCGCAAGCAAGTAAGTAAGTACGTACCTAAGTAAGTAAATATGTAAATAAGTATAGACAGACAAGTAATGCATGAGAAAGAGTTTAAACAAGTCAGGCGTAAGAAACTATGCAGTAAGTTCTAGGTATATTAGTGACTGAGTTAGTAAGTTTTCCTGCCTGGCTAGGTGCACTTCTCGATGTGTGTAAACAAGTAGTGGAAAGGAAGCAAATGAGTCAGTGGAAAGAGAGAGACACACACACACACGCGCGTGCGCGCTGGCTGTGCTGTACATACATGCATGGTCACATACATATGTATGTCTCCTGTCCCTAAGTCAGACCCCTGAAATGATCCGCCAGCTGCTCGTGCAACGGAGGCTTCTATGCCAGGCTAAGGTGTGAGGTGTAAGCCCTTCGGTGAAGGCTGCCACCCACACTTCACAGATCTATCCTAAACCCTAAACCATCCTAAACCCTAAACTCCTCTGTGCCCATGGGCTGCTTTGTATACAAAAGTACTGCACCTGCCGCGGGGAGTTTCTGCCAAAGCTCGGCGGAGCGCTCCGCTTCAAGCTCGGCCTTGGGCATTTGAGGCAAAAGTTTCCGAAACCCTAAAACCCCACATGGGAGAATATGAGACCCTGATATAGCCCTAAACCCTCATATGGGAGTTTCCGAAAATAGGGGACCCTAATATAGTATCCTTTATAGTAGGATCCGCAGTAGTCATGTTAGCTGCCGATTCCCAGCTGATGAAGGCATAGAGCCTGGGTTCAAAAGCAGGATCCTTATTATAAGGACCCCAAAATATGGCTCCCTCGAAGCATGTCAAATTTTCTCGTTGATCTTTGTGCTACTGCTTTGTGTGATAAGATGCCGCCGTTTCTGACATGATTGAAGCCACAGCTCGTCACAATCGCGAGCCAAAAGCCCAAGCAACAAATCTCGGCTGCCTCGAGAATCCCTCCCCTGCCGGGCAGCGTGCCTGCATCTCTGCAATCTTGGCTTCCAGCAGTCTGATGCGGTCCTGGCGTACTGGCAGCTAACAGCCCAAATCGGGTTGAGGCGACTTCGGGACCGCATGGCGCCTTCTTCCTCTGCTCCTCGGTCGGGGGCCCGCCGTCGGAAAGCCTGCTCTTCGATGTCAGTGACATCCGTGTAGCGTCTACGAATCAAAGGGCTACAGTGTCTACAGCCCGTAAACTGAAGTGCTACCGGCCACTTCTGCAGCTGAGGAGCAGCCGCTCAAGCTCCTCGCGCTGTAGCTCCTCAGTGGGCTGCCCAGTTTTGCGCGCGGGATACTGGGCCAGGTGAATGGGACGAAGCAGCGATGGCAACCGAAAGCAAACTCAAAGCAATGCTGAATGCTATCAGGGTGCTCGCTGGCTTTTGCCGTCCCGATGTTGTTTCGTTTCCTTTCCTGCCGGTCTCTCTTCTGGATCATGGAGGAGCTCCTTAACAAACAACCACGCCGCACACCAGAGAGCATCCAGACCAGGGTGAGTCTAAGCTATACAAGCAACAGCTCAAGTCAAGTCGTCCTGAAGCTTCATCTTCTGCAGCTCCCTGAAGAAGGTGCGCAAGGCCACACACCCTCTCGACTCTCACAAGGTGTAGCATCTTGATGAACGTCCCGCGAAGTGTTTGGCGTCGGGTTACCCGGACTGATTCCGAAGGCCTGTGTGTCGGCTGTGGCATGCTGTCAGCTTCGACTGCCTGCACAAAGCTCGACACATCAAGTTGTACAGCTGCACAGATCAATTCTCTCCCAGCTCAGACCAGCTCGTGTCTTGAAGGTCCAACCACTGCTGTGGCGACTGCCGGCACCACTACCACCCCTACGACGACGACATTATCTGCTTCTGCCACTGCTGCTGCGGCATCCTCCCGCCATGACTGGGTTAGGATGATCAAAAGCGCGACACCCTGAATCCCCAAAACCCTTGTCAAAGGCCCGATTAGCCACTACCTGTGTTGTGTGCACTCTTGCCTGGACTTCGCCAAGGGCTTCCGCTCCGGGTCGACCTGGGTCATCTCTTCTTCATAGTTGTGTTGTTATGACTCTATGACGCTGCGTCAGTCTTACTGGTATGTGGGTGGTTGTCAAAATTATAGGCCATCTTTGGATCCCTTATATCATACGGCACCTAATATCTAGGGTACCCAAAAAGGACCATAATTTGACAGCCACCCATGTAGTTTCTTTCTTTATGCTACCTGGATGACTTGGTTGGGTGTCGTGTCGATCGCATCATGGAAAGACATAACAACCCATTGCCATGTTCTCATAGAGTAAAGATCATGGTGTAACCGGTCGGCCATTAAGGCATACTACAGGGTCCCTTTGAAGATACAACAACTGCAGCTCCGATATGACTTGTTTCGGGGAAGTCATAACAATCAATCTGCCTGTTGCGCAGGGAAACGCGTCGTGCGGCATCCGGAACAAGTCCCGCCTAAGGGGAAAACTCGCACTGGAAGTCACGCGATCAAAAGTCGCATGTCGCACTTTTGACAAAACCTGACCTACTCAGCGGGCCGGGTATCCCCGGTGTGTCGTTGCACTTGCCCTTTTGTCTGTAAAATGCTGCCACCTCCCACCCGCAAAAGTTGCAGAACCGAACAGTGAGGACACGAGTTGCTACGAATTGGTGTTTCGCACTCAGCGAGTGCGGGCTGGGAAATCAACAGAGGCATTTTTAACGCCTTCCAGATTGGACTGTAGTGACCACATCGAAACCACAGACCCTGCAGGCAACTAGTTCACTGATTACGCGAAGTACCCGCGACAGCACTGTGAATCAACAGAGATGCAGGCTGACACCTGCCATTGCAGCAAAGACTCCGACGAAACCATAAAGTCGGGGAAGGACCGAAAGCTTCCATGGATGCACAACGCGCAAGGATGCAGTCTGAAATGCATGCGCTACACTACACCTCCGGTTCAAGCTGATCGTGCGAGTAGCATTAGAAGTTGCCTAAGACTGAGGAGGTGAAGATCACTTTCTGCACATCTGCCCGATTCGATGCCACGGGGCTGGAGGGTGGTTCGATGGAGACGTAAATGCCGACTTCAATCCTGAGCCCGGCAGGGTTGCAAAGGCCGTTACAGAAGCTTGCATAGGTTGTGTTGAGTTTGATATCACGAAACAGAAGCCAGAGAGCAACCGCTCCTTAGTGCAGTCTCGTTTGCCAGCCATCCACAGGAACAATCCCGTGAGTCACGAATCTGAACATGAACGCAAAGACATGTAAATGATGCATATACGTGTGAAAATGACAGAGGCCGGCTCGAGCCCCTGACTGTGGACGAGACGTGCCTCCCCAAAGCGTCTCCTGGACATGCCCAAGCAGAAGAGACGTGATGCGACCACCTCGACTGGTTCTGACCAGTTTGGGCAGGTTGGCAGAAAAAAACCTGCATGTGCTCACGCAAGAGTCTTCTTCGACCTTTGAACAAATTCGACGAGGTTCCGGGCACTGCAGGTTTCGCGCCTTCAAGCGATGCCAGCGGTTGGGGATCAGGGCGAGAACCTCGAGTCGGCTGCTGCCAACTTCTGCCAATTCCGTGGGGCCTTGGGTGAGCGCGGAAGCACGACTCACACAAGGCTCGCAGGCAAAATCAGTCCCTGACTGGAGGCCAACACCTGGACTTCAAGAGCCGACTTCCAGGAGAAGACCTGGCTTGTGCCATGTGGCCCGACGTGATGACACGTGGCGGTCACTGGAGATCGAGTCTGCCTCGAAGGTGAAGTGGCTCGAGGCAGGCCATACAGACTTTCCGTGGCTCACAATCCCGCCCTCGCTCCTGCAACGTGAACGGGATTAAACACTTAACCGACTTCGTCCATCATCAAGCCGGCCCAGTCCTCCAAACCTGGGAGTCCACTGATGCGACCAAAGTCACGCGAGATCCATTCAGCGACTCCTGCAAGGATCTCAGGCATTCTGTGCTTGAATGGTGCTTACGAAACCTTGCCTGGCCGGCAAACAGCGCTTGAGGCGCGACCCTTACTACGTACAGCAAATTGAGTGCATCACTCCGTACTTTGCTTGTGTAGTTCTGTTGTATGAGCACTGAAGTCTGGGTAGCAGGCTCTATCTTTGCAAGCGGCGTAGCGGCACTTTCCTCGTCCAGAGTGTCTGCCTCAAGCTGAGCTCACCATCTTCAGGCTAGACGAATTGGTGACACTGCAGATCTTCATCTTCCGGTGGCAACTGCTACCGTCTTTGACGTCATTGCTGTATGCTGCAGGAGGGGGAGTTCCCCGGCAAATTCACCTGCCTCCTGCCCGACGCCATCAGGAGGCGCGCGCCTGGCCATCTTCCACCGACAGCTGCACTCGGTGGCCGAAAAATCCAAACCTATGGTCATGAACCCGACAGGGGCTCGGCTAAACACTTACAACAACTTTAAATGTTGATATGTCTTGCTTTAAGGACATTGCGGAAGCGCCAGGCCACGATGCCTCCGGGAGTCCCAGTGCGCGATGTGAAACCACCGGAGCAAGACATCCTGCACAAGCACAAGAGTGGAGTCGGGATCCGAGTTTGCTGTCAGCTGCGGAAGAAGAGCGAGTTCTGATTTCTCGCGACATTCGCCGACAAATTTCAATCGGATTCAGACGAATTGAGCCTCTCCAAGCTTCCTTTCGCCCTACTCGGCGGGTCGCCCCAAGTGTCCCGCAGCAGGCTCTCGTCAAGGAAAGCTCCGAGGAGACGCTTCAGCTTGCAAAGCGCCTCGGGCCTGAGTGTTCAACGCACTGCTGAAGTTTCACATGTTGAGGTTTGGTCCGTGGGAACACATGGGATTCCCTCCTTTTAACAATGTTCACGTGCTAACTTCCACCTGGATGTGCTGAGCCTTTTTTGGCTATCTCTGCAGATGCAAGCGGTTGCTCAGTGCTATACCATTGGTCCGCGCTGACAGCCCGAAGCCTGATCAAGCCCACTTCCGTGCGCTTCCGTTCCAGTGTGACCTGGCTTTGGGGCTGAGTGCTTGGACGGTTCAGGGTATTTCTGCACGAGACGATTCTACTGGATGTTACATCCATAGTGATCTTCTCAACTCATGCCTGTCGCTACGTAATGGCTGCAGTACAGCAGGATGGGTCGGCCGACATGCAAACCGCCAAACCGTAAGTGCCTTCAGCTGCTGCAAGGGATCGTCGACCATCGGTTCGGCCTTGCCGCGCAGGAGATCCTTGGCAATCCGACCATGCGAGCTCGGCAGAAGCTGCGATGCTCTTTCAATTCTGGTCTCCTCTCTCTAGGGATCCTTTGGTATCCTTTGGTAATCTGCTCCTTAACGTCCGTGAGCCTTTCTGGGTATCCCCGCCCGGCGGGCCCGGCGCCAACGTTGCGCTTCGCCCTCCGCATGCCGGGCAGCCGCGGAAGCCTGGAGAGACCACGGGCTGATCAGCTCATCTAGTCAGCTCTCCATTGCTACACCGAGGGTACATAGATAGACAGAGAGATAGATGGAGAGAGAGAGAGAGAGAGAGAGAGAGAGATAGATAGATAGATAGACTTTTACGTACACACACACACATATAAGATGCCTACATCGATCCATCCATCCCCAAAAAGACAGATAGATACACAGATAGATGTGTATGCGTGCATGTGTGTATTTAATCGTATGGTTTACGTTGGTGTTTTTGCTGGGCGGCTGGGCACGTAGGTGTAAGTGTATGTACACGTATGCGTATATGCACATCTAGATGAACGTATATGAACCCAAGATTGCCAACGGTGCCCAAGTATTGCGGCTTAGGCTCCAGGGTTTAGGGTAGTGGTTTAGGGTTTAGGGCAGCCTAAACCCTAAAGCCCTGCGAGCCTGCTGAAGCTCTTGGCGAAGCTCTTCGCCTGGATCGGAGCAGCCATGGCTTTGCCGACGCTTCTCTGGCAACCCGGACAGTCCCAGGAGTCTGATGCGCTCTGCACATTCTGAGGCCTTTTTTGATTACACAGCGGTTGCGCAGCTGACTGCCTCTGTGGCGCCACGCTCTGACTTAAACAGTTTGGATGTACAGCGTGCGCACCGACTGTGCCAAAAGGCAGCAAGAGCAAGCGCAAAGCCGCACAATGGGGTTTCAGAGAAAAAGCTCCAGATGCAGAAACCTCATGTAACTTTCTGCAAGGATCCTCATTATTTGGGCCACCTTTCAGTTTCAGAAACCTCCCAAAACGCATCGCCTCCCCAAAGGGGGTCGAAACAATTTCTGGCTGTTGCTTGCGAGCGTAGCATTTCATTATCATGCCCTATATACCGGTGGGGAATATTCTAAAGATCGCTATGATCAGGCACTCTTACCTGAAATTACGAATGTACCATAGAGTTATGGCTGGCAGACATTGAAGTCCATTCCAGCCTGGTCCATGCTATGCTCTGTGGCACGAAGCCGCTAAGGGGGGATGAGCTGCGCCCTGGAGGCCCAAGGGCTTCCGTTCCGCGACCCAGGTGACAGAGGCGGACCTGAGCAACGATCATATAGGGGGCCGCAATGATTAGATTAGGGTGCCTTAAAAGGGTTCCCTTTTGAAGGGTTCCTATAAGGGTGCGATAATGTAGGGACCTTGATAATTAGAATCGGGTTTCGGTGTGCATTATAATTACTATGTTAATAATAAGGACCCCCCAAAATAGTATAGGCAATTCGATATGATACAATACAGCCCCTATAGTAGGGTTTCTGCGCGTACTGCAGATTCGAGTCCACGCTCTCACACTCGCTCTGGCCAGACGATGTTCGAGAGAGGTTGCAACCCTTGGTCGAAATCCCGAAGCGCTGTACATGACCCAATGCTAGAAACTTGACTTTCGTTGCAAGCTCAATTCCTACAAACTCTGTTGCTGTGTACACCTATTACAGACATTAGCAGGACTATTTGCACGGTGCAGAATCCGTTCCATTCCGTCTCACTCTTACTAGATCCTGCACTGAACCAGTCTCAATTTGCAGAAGGCAGGCAAGGATTCACAACAGGCTTTCGGTGCTCACACTCGGACAATCCAGGCGAGGCATTTGGTTCGAGGTCTGAAGAGCAGTCTTTCGACTCGCACACTCGCTCGACGCAGGCACGGCTTCATGGCTCTGGCTTCAGGGTTTTAGGGCCTTTTGGTGCAGGGTTGAAGGTTTGAGCAACACATGGGCCTTCGGATACTTGGCCACAGGGCCTCCCGAGCTGCCATCTGCCAGGTTGATGTTGAACTTGTTCTGGCTTCCATTGTCGCCTGTTGCGGGGGCATGGCGCTGGAACCCCCCAATGCAGTCTTGGAGTCCCGTGCCGGTGAGTGCAGGCAAGGTGCCTGTGTTGTGGATGATGTGCTTTTGAAAACCGGAGGTCGGCCCGACATAGTGGGGCCTCGGATAGAAGCCGTGGTCATATTCAGGGACTGGGACGAGGCCACATGTGATGACATCACTTCTGCACGGTACTGAGCCGCAGGCACATGAAGTCTCAAAAAACCTGGGGCAGCAGGCACCACTCCTCTCTAACCGTCTGCCACGACTGATCTCGTCAATTGTATTTCGAACAATGAACTTACTTATTTTAAGGGTTCTGACACACCAACGGTTGATGCTCTTCAGCCAAGCCAAGTTCTGAAAGGATCGCTGGAGACGGTCCTGAACCAAGGCACAATTGTCGTCGCAGGCACCCTTGCTTCGATCTGCCTGACTGCATGTGTGAGGCCCGTTGGTTGACAGTACCACACAAGAAGCGATCTATGCGCGCCCGCCTCTGTGTGTGTGTGCGTATATGCGCGTGCGGGTGTGTGCGTGGGTGCGTGTGTGCGTGTGCATGTGCGTGTAGGTGGGTGGGTGGGTGGGTGGGTGGGTGTGCGTATATGCGCGTGCGGGTGTGTGCGTGGGTGCGTGTGTGGGTGTGGGTGTGGGTGTGGGTGTGGGTGTGGGTGTGGGTGTGGGTGTGGGTGTGGGTGTGTGTGCGTGGGTGCGTGTGTGCGTGTGCGTGTGCGTGTAGGTGGGTGGGTGGGTGGGTGGGTGGGTGGGTGGGTGGGTGTGTGTATATGCGCGTGCGGGTGTGTGCGTGGGTGCGTGTGTGGGTGTGGGTGTGGGTGTGGGTGTGGGTGTGGGTGTGGGTGTGGGTGTGTGTGTGCGTATATGCGCGTGCGGGTGTGTGCGTGGGTGCGTGTGTGCGTGTGCGTGTGCGTGTAGGTGGGTGGGTGGGTGGGGGTGGGGGTGGGGGTGGGGGTGGGGGTGGGGGTGTGGGTGTGGGTGTGGGTGTGGGTGTGGGTGTGGGTGTGGGTGTGGGTGTGGGTGTGGGTGTGGGTGTGGGTGTGCGTGTGCGTGTGCGTGTGGGTGTGGGTGTGGGTGTGGGTGTGGGTGTGGGTGTGTGTGTGTGTGTGTGTGTGTGTGTGTGTGTGTGTGTGAACGTGCGCGCGTTCGCGCGTGCGCGCGTTCGCGCGTGCGTGCGTGCATGGGCGTGTGTGGCTCGTGCATCTGTTCATGCGGGAATCTACATGCGAGCTTCAGCGAAGGCGGATGGGTGAGCTGCATGCTCCGGTCGGCCTCATCCGCCGTGGCAGCCGCAACTTTTACATGTTCAGCCTCTCCACCTCAGCTTTAGCGAGTGTGAAAAAATCCTAGCACTCCGGGTGACGTCACAACGGAAGATCTCGCAATGCCAAGCTGCCGTCATGGCCGCTTCCTGCTGGAGTATCAGATACAAGCTCGTGACCATGGCGCTGCGAACTCTATGAGAACTCCGTCTAGAACCGAAGCCGAGTCCGTCAGGCACTTAAGTCCAAGCTTGATGCTGGCAGGGCTCGTCCCATTCCCATGGACATCCTCTGCGGTGGGCCCTTCTGAAGTAGTTGCAAGTTCGGTTGGGAGACGATTCCTCGGGGCGAGGCGAACTAAAGCACCAACGAGGATACCCGGCCACGGTCTTCGGCCACGAGGCGCTTCATCATCCCTCCGTCCGGCTTGAAGACCGGGGTCGCCGCCTTCGGAGGGTCGGACGGTCCCTTTAAGGCATCTCTGGCTCGGACGGGTGAAAGCAACGATTGCGGGTCTTCGGCGTGTTTGTCCGGCTTTTGGGTTCGACGCATCCATCGGCCCCTTGTCCACGACTCTTCCCCGGCCTTGTGAGCCCTCTCGCTGGTGAAGGGGCTTCGCGAGTTGAGGCTCTTTGAGTCCGCTGGGGTGCGAACTAACCTGCCAGCCCACCAGGAGGGTCTACTGAAGCGGGGGCAGGGTGTCGGGGTTTTAGTTAGGGCTGAGAACCAGAGATTAAGACGAATGAGATTGATTGACCTCAAGTAGACTGCCAGCATGCCATCAAGCCGGCACCTCCAAGCAGATCGATTAAAGGGACAAGCGATCGCATGACAGCCGCGTTTCCCTGCAGGAACTCCTTTCGTCTGTAGCAATGTCTGTTCTCGAATATTTCTTGACGAGGCGTCGCAAGAACGGGACATGTGACATCTTACGGCCCAAAACGCCGAGGGGCTGTTGCTGGAAGTTTCTGCTGAAGTCGCAAAGCATGCGATACCTTTCCTCGGAGCGACCCTCTTGCTTGCCCGTCCCAACATATAAAATATGGAAAGGCAAGGAAAGCCACGTGCAAGGACACCCATATCTGCATTCATGTCAGGCCACACTATCCTGTACTGCTCAATGATCAAAGGACCACTCAAATCTGGAACGCCAGCATGAGCAGATTCGTGATCTCATGCTCCCTTACTACCTTTGGAGCAAACTCTGGATTATGGCATTGCAGTCTCTGCGTGTCAACATCACAAACCTCAGGCCCTAAAGCCGAAGACGCCAAGCCCCGAAACCTTTTTAGCCTCAACCACTCAACCTGCACACGCTTACAGCTTTAGTCTTCCAACAAAGCCCTCAACACCCCTCCCCAAACCCTAAACCCCTGAACTGGCCCTAAACCCTAGACTCCTAGACCCTAACCCCCTAAACCGTACCGTCGCCCCATAGCCATGAACCAGAAGCCGAGTCTCGGCGTGACGGCTGTTGAAGAAACCCCAGGATGGTGGCTGGAGCTTTCCTCGGGGACTCTGGCTTCGCTTTGTTCTTGCCCCCTGCCAGTCTGAGGGTCAGAAGTAGGTGTATAGATGTATAAGTTTAGATGAAGGATGAGTTTCGCAAATATGTACATGGATAGATGCGATGTGCAGTGCACATCCAATGTGGTGTCATCTACTGTACTGCTGATGCGTGCATGTACGTACATATGTATGCATGCATGTACGAAGAAGGTTTGAGCAATCCCGTGGGCAACATGCTGCAAGTTTTGAGTCGTCGCTCGCATCCTCGACAAATCTCGACGGCATCGACCACCATAACCACCGCGGAGGCAGCGCCTTTTCCAGGGGCACATCATCTGCTGCCTTCCAGCTGCCCAATCCGCGTCTTCGGTAGCCACTGTATCCTCCTGCACTATATCCTCCTCCATATTTGGACTCCGTGGTCGGGTCCTCTGATGCCACACATTATGTGCAATACACTTGTTTACTTGCAGGTGCGATTATACACACATACATGCATGCATGCATACAGACAGACGTGCATGCATGTACATATGCATATATCTGCGCATGTACATGTGCGTATACGGACGCCTACATCTGCACCGACTGATTATGCACATTGATACATGTAGAGATGTGTGCACGCAGGCTACATCAGAACAATTGCAGCAGGGTTTCGGTGCACTTCAATACGGGGATTGGGGATCCCACAAATCGTAGATATGTCACAAGTCCATTCTCTCGTGAAGAGTACGGGATTGAGATTGTTCATTGCACGTTTGAACCGCTGTGGATAGCTTACCTTTGGTTCATAGGGAATGGAAGAATGGTAGTGATGGTAGTTAGTAGTTATAATTGTACCCCATTCCTCCATTCCCTACTAACCAAAGGTAAGATTCCCTACTAACCAAAGGTAAGATAGACCGAGGCCGGCGCCATCCGATATCCCTCTCAGCTCCGACTCGTGCACGAGGCAGATTCCTCACAGGTCAGGTGGTCAGGGATCCCGTCATGCCCTTGTTAAACCGTGAACGAACGAAACGAAGTGTCGGAGCATGTTTCTTCTGACAGCTGTCGTTGCCCTCCGAATCAAAGCTTGGCCAAGGCACTGAGAGTTGGTCGTGGCGTTCGCGTCATGTCCGTGAAGGTGCAAGTCTCAAGGCTTTGGGTGGTTTCCGACACCTCGCGATTACTTTCTCACTCATTTGCTCTCCCTCTCCTTCATTTTTCCGCAGCGCTCCGTTGACTTTGTGCTTCTTCGTTCATTGGGACTTCAGAGAGCAACTCTTAACCATGAGCTGCATGCATACGGCCGAGTCTTCAACTGTCCTGCGGATTCCGATAGCTGCCTTGAAGACAATCTGCTCTCTGAGAAAGCTTTAGGGAGCTTCTTGCGTTGGCATAACTTAAATTAAAAACTCTGCACGTGCATGTTCACCTTTCTTCGTTGACGAAGGGCTTATGCCGGCCTTGCCACTCATCGTCCTCTTCTGCTGCACTTCTGTTCTGCCCTCGCCCTCAATGTGCGTTCAGCCCACCTTCTGCTCATCTGGTAGATGGTTCTCCGGTCGCGTTGGTGTCATGATTGTGACACAATACCTGGCACATAAGAAGGTATCTGCAACACGCTCAGTCAGGCAAGGCAGCAACAGACTGCGTCCAGGGAGCCAGGTTGATTTGAAAAGGTCCGTGTCGCCTAAGGCGTTCTGGTGTACGTAGTTGGGGCCGAGCAAAGAGCCTTGGTGGGCACGCATGCAATGCTGCCGACACTGTCAAACTGTCCTAATCAAGGCAGGCCAAGGTCAATGCAAACAAAATCCGTCTTGACGTCTGGCGGCTCATGGCATTGATGGAGGCTTGAAGGATATGGTAGCGTTCATCTGGCGGCAACCACCTTGCCACCAGGCAATTGTGACCTCAATCAATGTACAATGTACAGCGTCGCGAAAGGATGCCACCTGGCCATGAACGCTATCTGAGAGGAGTGCCGATGAACCAACGAACCACGGAATACTTGCGGCCAAACTGCTCTGCTCGTGGCAGCGCCGGGCGGCATCTTTCAAGACTCCGACCAAGTGCTCATTGCGGTTGAGAAGCTTGCTGGCTGACACCTGGCTTTAAGTTGCTGGCCCCTGTGATATTTCAGATACGGATCCACGGAAAAGCTGCCAATGAAAACAGCAACCACAACCAAACAAGCACGACCGAACCAATAACTAACAACTACTGCTACTGCTACAGCTGCTACCACGACGACGATCGCTTCTAAGAATAACAACCCTTACCGGGCTACGACAGGAAGTATGATAAACAAAACACACGTACACATAACTACAACAATAATCTTCATGCCAACCTTTATCATAATACAGTGCAAAACTCAACTCAATCCAAGCAGAGCTGCTGATACTGATCCCATTTTCCCCATGGTTGAACTCATCTGTGAAACTAATGCAGATCAAGAAGGATAAATCTCCTGATAGTAAGGATTGGTAGTACGATGTAGTACGTAAAGATGCTACCAAAACTATTTCCGAAAATCCCACAACAAAGACGAGCATTTATTAGGGAATATACCTGAAATCCATATTAAGGATCCTACAGTCTACAGTAGTATATTTTAAAATATGTCCGAGCAACCCCCCCTTCAAGCCGCAAGTCATTACTGCGACTCTCGGCCCAAAGGCCTGGAAGAGCGTCCTCTTCTCGACCCGGCCCAGGTTTAGCAAGTTCTCCGCAGTGAGCAAACAGCCTGCTCGTCTGCACCCCGGGAGAGGCAGTTAGGGGCTTATATATGTGGGACTTAAGTAGCACTATCTATTTGTCTCTCAAATAGGTTTCGACTTTTCTGGGCAGTTTTTCACACTAGGTTCAGGGCGTTAAACAGTACTTTCTATTTGTCAAACAGCTTTCGATTTTTTCGGGCAGTTTTCCACACGGGTTGAGCAGGCTATTACCAAATCCATGAAGTTCAAAAGGTCCAATGCATGTAAGCTCTCTGGCAGCTGCGCCTTGGACCAAGTCCTGAGACGGTGGACACAGCCCTCGAATACTCAGCCCAGGAGGAGAACCAAGAAAATCCAAGACTCCAGTTCCAGCTCGTTGGCAGGGCAAAGAACCTGCCGCCTTCGGAAGGTCAACCGTTTCCGCGAATCGCCTCTTGTCACTTCTTCACATTACAAGGCCATGCCTGGATTGGACGCTGCGTCGCCACCTGCAGAGTCAAGACGGATCAGTAGCGACAGTGTGCTCTCTGGTCCCTTGCAGCATTGCCGAGGAGTTTGTGCTGCCCAGAATGGCGTCGCCTCCCCCACAAAGACACGAGGACCTGCATTCTCAGTTCGTGCTTGCATCAAAGCCTCTTAGACACTGGAGCCTCGATAACACGCAGGATAAGCAGTACCAGCGCCGGATTCTTGGCCACAGCGCGGAGGACCTCAAAAAAGAAGTGTCTGAGTTTTTGGCAGCGGGCCCGGAACAAAGGATGGCCTGCCTTCTTCGCGTAGCCACTGGCCGCCTTGGCTGTAGCGGTTCATGAGAAGGGATATCGGATACTGGCCTGTCGGTGCAGAAAGCCAACTTTCTCTCATTCCTTCAAGCCCTGGCGCTGCAAGGTCTAGCGTCTGCGACGGCATGGCGGCCGAAGACCAGGCGCTCGGCGGTTTAGCGAAGCACTAGAAACCTGTATGTCGGGCACTGGAACCCACAAGGGCAACAATGATATACTATACTAACTATGCTTCGCTTCAGGCCTCTAAACCAGCTAGCAGACGACCTCCTACCAGTCAGGACTGCTGCCAAATTGTCTGCATCCTCCCCTGATTCTTCCAGATCACATCACCTCTACCTTCATCCCTATGACTCTGCTCATGTTCAGGATGGGCACACAGGTTCCTAACCAACACAGGCCAGGATACCCTAATCGAGCTACCGCGGCTCTCAGCCGAAAGCGCCGTGTGCAGATACGCTCACAAAAGACCGAAACTCTTTCCATGTCCTATGCTTTACCTCACACATCTGCACTTTGTCACAGCCGCTCTGAGAGACTCTAACCTCTACTGGGCTTCTGGCGCAGAGTTTCCAACTCTTCTGTCCTCTCTTGGCCTTCTCGTGCAAGCACACACCACAGCTGAAAGGCATGTCAGCTGACATGAGGCAAGAACTCCCTGGAGCTTTACAAGACTGTCGAACCTCGAACCTTATAGTAAGATACTATAAGATACTATAATACTGCAAAGTGTTTTTTGTAGATCTTTGTATGATATACTCTATCCTTTTACATAATATAGCATACTTTCTCTATACTTTGGCGTATTGTACTATGATACACTATTGTTGTACTTGGTCTTGGTGCCGGGCAGATGTTAAGCTCCAGCTTCTTCCTGTAGCCGACAGACTCGTGCAAGCTTTAACGCTCCTTTATCCCTAGCAAGCACAACCCGGAAGTAAGGGGACCCTGATACATAGTACCCCTAAACAGGAGGATCCTGATTAAGCATAAGCATCCCGGTCCCACTCCCTCCCACCACCTCCCGCCACATTCTAATTTCAACTCTCAGTCTTTCACAAGGCGGACAGCAATACTGTCCAACCCATTCTAGTTTTGGGGTTTACGCTCTCGCTCTCGGACAAGCCAGACAAGGTCTCTCGGTACGACTGCGCACTGCAGGAGGGTGAAAGAAGCACTGAGCAAAGCCGGTTCAAGCTTATGCAAGGCAACCACGAGGCAGAGTGCTCGAACTACGGTATACAAGAAAATGATCAGACTACAGAGAGAGGAGCACCTCGCAATAGGGTCAAGTTCGCCGCCTAATCTGCCGTACTACCACATCGTTTTGTATAATATGCTATTACTTTTCCGGGTCTCGGTGCCCACCTCAGCAGGAGAGCCAAGTGCGAAGTGGCCGTCGTTTCTGGTCTCGACTCCTCGTTGGCGCGACTTGAGAAGAGGTCCGAGGGAAGCGATTCGTGGAAAGCCAAGGCTGATTGAACGCAGACAAACAAGCCAGAGCATACCGACAAAACCCAAAAGCTGAGCTCAAGAATACTCCTCAAATTTCTGAATTTCGGCGCGTACTCTAAAGAATTCCGTTGCAGCTGTTACTGACTTCAGGGTTTCCGTGCTCTCTAGTCTAGGAATGCTGGGCCCCGCGCATGACTCGCGAGTTGCACGCCATATCGATGTTGCAGGAGTGCCCTGCATCGCGCCGTGCAAAAAAAAAGGCCAGAGTCGCGAAAGTCTATGATGAATTGACATCATTGAGGACACCTTGTCTCCAACCTTTCTTTTTGCACAAACTTGTATAGGCCCTAACCTCCCTTCTGAACCTGGACTTGATGAACCTTCCTAAACCCTAAACCCCTCAACCCGAAGAAGCATCGCTTCTGCTGCGCCTGGCATCTTGCACGGCTTGGACACTCGGGGTGCGCGAGGAGAGGGCCTGGAGTCAGCTTTGCAGAGACTGCGCCGGTAAGAAATGGCCTAAAACCTTTTATAAGATACTATACTTTACTATACTGCGTATATGCTCTGCATGACATACAGTCATCTATTAATAAAGCATCAGAGGGAGATAGTATGAAGTGCCATAAGATGCCCTAACATGATAAAGTAGACTATGCTGAAAGATACTATAACGTACCATGCTATATGGCGCTGTACTATAATGCTACAGTATAGTGTGATATACCACCATAGTAAATTAAAGCCAAACATGCAACAAGTAACAGTACCCTTGTAAAGGAACCTTATTGTAGAACCCGTAAAGGTACCCTATCCCTATTATAAGAACCCTTAAAGGAACCCCATTATAGAACCCTTAACCGACCCCTATTGTGGAACTCTGAAAGGAACCCTATTACAGAACCCGTAAAGGAACCCCATTATTGATTCCTTAAGGGAACCCCATTATAGACCGGTTATAGAACCTTAACGGAGCCCTATCATAGAACGCTTAAACGAACCCTATTGTAGAACCTTTAAAGGAACGTCACTATAGAACCCTTAAAGCGGCGTATTATAGAACCCTTAAAGGAACCCGATTATAAAAACCCTTAAGGGAACCCTATTATACAACCCTTCAAGGAGCCCTCTTGCAGAACCCTTAGAGTCCTTAGCGGAACCCTAGTATAGAACCGCTTTGAAGGAACCCCAAATCCTAAACCCTTCGGTCTGCGCTTTCACAGAAGCCCTTTTTTCGAACTTCTCGCAAACTGCCAGGCTGCCTGCAGGCGACGGGCTGAACTGGTTTAAGATCAGCCAAAATTTCCTGGAATGAATTAACATATATATATATATGTATATATATATATATATAGAGTTATTTATACGGTACATACGAGAATATCTATGTATATTATATGTATATTATATGTATTATATATATATATATATATATATATTCTCAGATACGCAGGTAGACTTTAAAATGCTATGAGAGAATGGTTTCAGCAGCCCACCCTCCCGCAATGTTGCGGCAGGGGGTGCTTGTGGCAGTGAAACTTTGACAAGACTTCCCACTGCCACAGGGACGAGGGTTGCATGCCCTCAGGGCTCATGACATATGCCATCCTACCCGGAGCGATACCAACCCTAAACACAGATCTCGCGAGACACCATTCAACCCGACAGCTTAGCTGCAACAGAAGAAACAACTTTCAGTCCGCAGTGGGTTCTGAAAACCCTGATCCCCTACCCACTCGCGTCGTCTGAATTCGCTTGAACGATGAATTGTCAAAGACATTCTGCACAGAGGCGACTCGCTCACCCGATAATGCATGCAGGACCTCCTGGATGAGGACTTCGAGTTTGGTTTCTATGCGCCAGATATCTAAGGCCTTGGCATTGCCTTTCAGACGTTGTGCGCCCTCAATAAACTCTGTGAGAGTGATATTGCCGTCGCCGTTATCCAAGAATTCGAAGAGCGATAACAAATCATGATACTCCAGCTCCAGTTGGCTCATCCAAAACTTCAGCTTTGGGGATTGGACCAACTTGGAAAACTCATCGTAGCTTATAGACCCATCGCCCGACTCATCCACCGTCTGAAAAAGAGTCTTGACACGTCTGCCATAAACCGCCAACTCCCGTTCCTTCTGCTTGAAAGCGATTTCTTCATCGGAGTTCGCGGTCTTCAAGGTCTGCTGCACAAAAACCGCATTTACCACATTCAGGATAGAGAAACAAAATACGCAGCGGTACAGCAGAAAGAACACCGAGAACCATTCGCTGACGTCTTCGACCAGTACCCTACATGGTGGCCCCCAATTCGCGAACAATATTTCCTGGGTTGCGCAGTTGGGGCTCTGAAAGTATTGATGAATAGTTACTTCTAGAGGAACCATCAAGGGAAATTAACAAGTTTCTCACATTGCCACCTAGTTTCAAACATTGTAAGCATAGTCCTCGAGAAGGTACCAAAGTACTGAAAGACCTCCTGTCGGAGCTCAGGGGAATGCGCTGGGCTCGCAATGAAGTCGCGGCATATCGTGCTCACAATCATCCCGGCGACACACTGCAAGAAGAAGAGCAGGCACATGCTCCAGAACAACATGTTCACGCTGCCTGCGACACATTTGATTAACAACTGCAGAGAAGCCATTACGCTTGACATAGTTATCATGCGTATAGGACGCGCCAGCTTGCCAATCCGCAGCAAGCGCAACAAGGCCAGGTTGACTGGCAAGGTCTGCATATAGAACAGAGCAACTTGTACCGCGGAAGCCACACTCACGGCTGCGTCGATGTAGTTGCTCCACACCTTCCAAAAGTCAAGCCTGAACACATACATGCGCAAGCCGACTTCTAGGGCAAAAAACGAGGTGAAGAGGACATCGCCCAGCATGAAGACCTTGTCCACTGAGGCTTTCTGATCCTCCTGCACCAAGGGATTGGCAACAACCCCCAACGAATACCCAACCATAGAACCGTAGATTTGCAGCTCGACCGCCATCCACATAACATTCAAACACAGCGTCGCAGCTATGATGACTTCGAAGGCCGTTGACTGCAGCCGCATTTTACATCTATCGGACGAAGTCTGCGCATCAATTGAGCTGTTGTCAGAAACGGCGTCAGGGTTCAAGGGATCACCTTGAAAAGAGCCATCTGCACTGTCACTCTCCATCCGCTCGTTTAATGCATCCAGAAGTTGAGAAGCCTGCATTTCTCGTTTGCCTTGGTGCTGTTTCCGCAACCGTGTGCAGGGTGAGACTCCCTCAGAGTTGATAGCACTCTTCATTTGGACGGTCGTCTGCCAAGCATCGTCAGATACCATGAGCGGCTCGTCAAACTTCTCAGAGGTACCTGTGTTCAGCTTTAACAGCATCCCCTGCAAACTGCTTATTTGCTTCTCTAGGTCCAGGATTTCTGCTCGGTGTTGTTGTGAGATTTGGTCCAAGAGAGACCGGAAGGCAGCCGACTCGCTGCGACCTTCTGCATGAGCATCCTTTGCTTCGTGGCTGCCTGCATTTTCACATTTCTGACCGGCATGCTGTGGAACTGGATCCCTGGACAATCCAGGTTCAGAGGGCTGGAAAGGTCTTACATCCAGCAAACCAACGAAAGGAGATGGCGCATGACTCATGCTAGGAAGGCAGGGAAGGCTTCGATGTTGCGTCCTTGAGCCGTCAGAGGGCTGCGCCGCGAAATGGCTGTTGCAGTGAAGCCGTAAAGTGAAGCCCACTGGTCCTAAAAAGGAAGCTCCGACTATCAAGCTTGCTTTCTGCCTCGGCTTCTGGCTCCAGGGGCCGGATGCTATTGCAGCTTGCTTTGCTGCATCACAGGTCGTGCAAAGCTTTGCCAATTGACACCGAGAAGAGGCAAATGTGGAAGTGCAAAGAAAGGCACATTCGCACGCTTGTCAATGAGTTCTTTAATGACAGGCAGGGTGACAGGCACATGCTCAGTCAGGTTATACTGCATGTCCAAGTCGGTCCCGGTCTCTGAATAGTCAATGTCATAGAAGGCACAGTGCCTTCGCGTGATATCCTCCACTGGCATCTCGATGGCGAACGTGCCGTAAGGTGGCAAGTGCGGAATGGTCGGAGCCAAGATACCATCATAGCCCACCGCCAGAGCACCGCACCAAAGGGGTTCATGCACCAGTACAACCCTTGTTCCAGGAGGACAAGCCTTCGAAATTAGCGGAAGCACTAAGTCCGTCAGTTCCCAGCGTAGTTCTGTCTCAACCAATGTTTCAGAGCTGATGCAATAAGCCATTCCTTTGAAGACATAGACAGTGGCAGGGCCTTTTAAAGAACTGGACCGGCCAACCCACTGTACTTCATCAGCAACACGGTTGGCCCAGCAGTTTGCCATTGGCCCGTGCAGGAGGCTCGCCCTTGAGGGGCTGGAGGATGAATCGACCACGCACACTGCCAAGCAGCTTCGCACAGAGTATGTGATCAGCCCGTCAACGCAGGAGGTACTCTTGTCCCAGCGGCCAAAGCCATGGACGTAAATGCCAGCATACGATGCAAGAGTTTCGCGTGCAGTCACCTCAAGCAATGTGGTGTGAAATGTAGAGTGCATGCGTTCGAAGCCTCGATATTGGCATGAGACTTTCCTGCCTGTGTGGGGAGAGACAATCAACGGGTGTCCCTTCTCACTTCCGAGATGGCAGACAGGACAGCCGCCTTCGTTGGGGACTTGCTTTGCTTCCCTCGGCTGTATGAAACGCATCAGCAAGCCGAGCCCGTTGAACGGATGTCTGTGTAGATGCCAATCCAGCTTTTCACTCGCGCACTCCGTGCAGATCAGCCCAATCTGCAGTGGCAACAGGCTGCCCGACGGCTGACCGCAGTAGCCGCACGCCTGGGAGCTTGCTCTACCCTCTGATTGACTCTTCTCCCCAGAAAGTTTTGCACGACCACAGCCACAGCGTTGGCACTCCGTTGCGTTGGGAAAATTTCGAGCATCGCAGGCTTCGCAAACCCAACATCGATTGCGGGCTAAATCGGCACCCTGGCCAGACCTTGCCTGCCCCCGCACATTGACTCTGCACCACTTTTGGCCACATCTCACAAGCAATGCCAAGGTCAGGCAGCTTGAGCTCAGAAGCTGGCCGCCTTCCCGACTCCTGCCCCTTGACAGAGCTCCCAAAGGTCGTGGTCTCCAATGCCCAGCCAGCCGGATATCCAACGTAGGGCAGCCACGGCAGAGCATGGCGATTGCGAACGCCGACAACAATCTCCTCAGAGAATGAGGTGTCTTGTGGGAGGTATCTTCTGCTTACCTACAACATCAATCTTTGTAATGCGCGATCATTCAGTATCAAGCAGAAGCATTCTAAATGGCCCAACATAGCTACTGAGCACACAACATAATTCTAAATAACTCGAGTAACTCCCCTTCGAGTTGACGACCTTTCCCGCACAAATCTAAGCCCTACTTGGCTTTCGGACGTCTGGAGTATTCTGGATTTCAATTCCCAACACAAGTCTGAACCCTAAGGCTTCTTTGGCTTGAGTGTCCTTTCTTGGAGGCGTGGTTGTGAGGTCATCATGGCACCATGCGAAATCATTCGTGTCATTCCAGGTCATTCGTTTTCATCCCTTTCGATGCTGCCGTTTGATCCCGTTGGTTGATTCGAATGGCATTGCCTACGCCTATGCTGGAAGCCTTCGAGCCAACACTACACAATCAGGCAACGCACTTGCAGGTCTTGTTTGCAGTTTCCTCCTGAGCATTTTCGTGATGCGGCACCGGGCCCCGCAACGGCAGTAATTGTGCAGTTGTCCTTATACCTCGATGCTGGAGCCTGCTGGTTGCCATAACAGCTCCTGTAATCTACAGCCTGACTGCTCGCCAGACCTGCGCCGGTCCCGTCTTCCTGGCTGCGGCCAGGCTTCCTGAGTGAACATGGTAGAGCGGTACATGTCAATGTGAAGAAAAAGCAGAACTCGGAAAGCCAGGCTTCCTGGGCTATGTGTTTAACATCTTAGATTATGTAAATACCTGTGCATACCCTCCTGATAAAGCCATAATTCGTCTCGTTCTAAATCACAAATGTTACTACAGCTTCTGGATCTATGACATATCATGCATGCCCAGTTGCTTGCGAACAGGCCATGCTTCGGCGACAGCAGGTTCATAGATTCTTCATATTCCGGGAGAAACAGCAGGGCTCCAGAAATCATAACAATAATGATTATATTTATTACTAGTACGATTATTGTTATCATATATATATATAGATATACAATGTTATTAAGAAGCTTCCTCATTTGTTGGACCGAGGCACAGGAGCTCCTTCCTTTTCTCCCCGCTGTGAAAGCTAGAGGAGTTCTGATATCTCGTCAAGGACTCAAGTACCAGCCATATGTGCCACTACGGTGCAGAAGGGAGCTCTAAGCAGCTGAAAAGGGATACAGGAGCCGTCTCCCGTAATTTCTCCATTGATTTTCCACGCAGAAGAGTCGTCATCTTTCTTGGTACTAGAGGCTACAACCGTGCCAAAACATCGGCTGTGCTCCTACATAAGCAATAAACCCGCAACCGACGAAGATGTGATGTCAGTGATGTCGGTTGTCTAGCGTTCTCACAACGACGCGTGATGTTCTTGCAAGAGGGGGCCGAACAGGGTACACAGAATGACATGTTCAAAAACATATATGTACTTCTTCATCTAGATGTGGAGGCATCACATTGAAGCATACCATATGTATGCGCAGAAGCATGCACGCACACACACACACACACACACGCACACACACGTGTATATACATGTCCATCGTAGTATACTCTCTCCTTATATCATCAGCTGCCTGCCTACCAAACTACCTACCTGCTTACTGCCCTGCCCTCCCTGCCCCCCCTGCCCGGCCCTGCGCCGCCCTGCCCTGATGTGTATGTGTATGTACATATTCGACAAGGTTTTAAAAAAGATCCGCGGTCTTGCCACTGCTTTAGGGCTCGAGCCCTGCAGATCGCTTGGAAGCTGCCCCAGGCGCGAGAGCTGCTCGCGGAGCTGCTGGTTCTGTGCCTCTCACTGCTGAGGGTCTCAGGATTTAAGTTCTTCTAAATTTCATGTTTTTAACAAATGGTGAGGTTTTCTATAGGTTTTTGTAAAAGGGTATAAACCCAACATCTATTTGGGCTCTCTGCGAATTTGTTTAGGCGACTCCTCGTCACACTCTCAAAGACAGACTCTGTAGGTTCCGTCCATCCACATGTCTTGGTTTTTTTTCCCTCTCGCATTGCTTGGAAGTCTATGCCCGCTCGCGAGGTCTGACATGTGAAGTACTTCAGAGGCTTGTTGTCTTGGGTTTCGGGTGCAAGGTTTAGGGTTCAGGGAGTTCAGTGTTTTTTGCTCCCACCCGCTTCGCTGAGCGGGTCGCGCTGCCGGAATTCCACACAACGACAAGACAGGTGCAAGCCAAGTGCAAAAAGTGGTCTCCCTCTCCAGACACACCCGCGTAGGCTACCAAAAGCTCTCACTTTCTCTTTTCGGGATGAGGATGTTGGGTTTAAGGACCTTTCATTCGCAACTCGCGCTTCCGAAGAGTCTTTCGGACAATGCGGCTGATAATTGCATTAGTTCTGCAGTGCGAGTATTGCTAGTTGGTGCATAGGTTGGAACTTGTTGAAATGCTGGCTCACGTAGGACCTAGGGAAACCGGGCTTTGGATGCACGTGCTGTCAACATGTTGACGCGGACATTTTCATCTCTGGCAGCACACCGAGGTCTCGCAATTTCACTCAGGCAGAGCGAATTGGCTGCGTGCTGTACTACCAGCTGAATGGCCCTCGGCACGTGCCAAACGTTTGCAAGAACAAACAGCAACTGCGGGGTACTGCTCTGAGTGGAACCATAGCTTCACGATGCTTCACGGCTATATCACGAAGCAATTGCGCACTGAGGCACCGCACAGCAGCAAGTACAAGCGAATGACTGGCAAACTCCCTGTAGCGGGTCTCGGTCTGCTGGTTTCTGTACTACATGCCCATTCACAGCCAGCATGGCCTGCTGTAACTGTAGTGTCCGTGCCACTGCGGCTTTCCAACCTTGGGTGAGCAAAGCTGCCTAGGCCTAGCCCTCAATTATGCAGCTGCGGGTGCATGCGAATGTTTGAACGCAACCTTCAGCACGTCAGCTGCTCCGATCGGCCATTTTCCAGCTTCAGGGTTCGCTTGACGGCTCATGGGCAAACTGCCCGACTCCATGAAGAATCCCGTCTCGCTACTGCCGGGCGTTTGCACAGTGCCGATCCAACGCGCCTTGAGAGATGACTTCTGTGTAGTCATCTAGCGGTCTAACGTCATAGAATCTTCCGAAAGCAAAGCTCTGAATGCCTTGTGGAGACAGGACCACGCGACGGAAGTTGAGGACAAAGCTTTCCTAGACTGGTGCATGGAGGCACTGTCACTGAAGGTTCGGCAAAAACGATGCTACCATCACTTATCGGCACACTGTAATATACTCTTGTGATTCTCGATGTCGCGAACGGAAAGGCACGTGCGTGGAGCACAGCAGTAAACATGCAATAATTGCAGCTCTCGTGTCATCGAGCAAGATCTGCACACCTTTTCGTGATTGCGGGATATCTTCACTGGTACAAGCTGGACCTGCAATGTGTGATCGTCTGCTAGTCAATGGCCGGGATGGGATGTCTGACCACGCCATGGAGCGGGATGACACGTCTGACACGCCGAATTGGAAGTGCAATGCGCACGCTGAGCAGGTTTAGTTGTAAACCTTCCAGCCTGGGCATGTTGCTTCTTGCCTGAGCCAGACTTCAGCTGCAAGCTTGAAGAAAACTATCCTCGACTTCCCTTTCAGCCAGGTGTCTGCGCCAAGCGCACAAGACACAGAATTTAATGAAATGCTCTTCCTGCCGCCGGCCAGAAATCACATGGATACCTTGCTGACATCGGCCTGGTGGGATTGGAGTATACAATGCCATTGCTGAATGCAGTCAGCCGCTCTCAGTTCTTTGCAGTCAAGACACGTCAAAGCGATATGTCTGAATGGCATGAGCCGGAATCACAAACTTCTGCGCCGAAGCTGCGTATTTGAGCTTGAACTCCTTTCTCAAGGACATGCCATGTTTGATGAGACGAAGGCTGCAAACGCTTGCGGCCAAACCGATCAGTGGCCAAGTCGCCAGGTCTGCATCACCGCAGTTGAGCACGACCTGACTGCCACGCGACCACCCCATGCGCAGTGGCTGTCGGATCTGAAGCGATTCTAAAGATGTATCCACGCAACGAAACAACCAAACCACAAACGACGAAGCGAGCTGTCCGGCACTACGTAGCCTGAACCGCTTCGTGACGTTCTGAGACTTTCTGATCTGAGGCACCAACCAGTACAACCTGCAGCAACGGTCAGATACAATCGAGACAAGCTGACCTACTACGACTCAAAAACACACACACACAATTACTAAAGTAATGAGAACATGAATACATCCACAAATATCAATGCCCTTCACGCTTCTATCAGTTGCCTACCAGTATTGTTACTCTATCAAGAAGTGGTGCTTTAGCCTCCCCAAAACCTTCAACTGCGGAATGTAGTATAACGCACTTCGTGCCAGTGCCTTGCCGGATGGCGTGCGCCCTGCTGTTGCTTGAAGCCCATCCTGCCCCGTGCAGGTTCCATACGGACGAGGTGGACCTGACAGAGAATCAACGAATACTTTATGGCTTTAAGGGTTACAATGGTTTTAATTAAGGATTATAATGGGTTCAGGGTTATAAGGATACTGTATCAACGACATCTGGTTCTAGACTCTAAATACAAGACACGATCAAACGTAGTGATTTGTGAGCTTGCACACATAGGCGTGCATAAAGATGCAACCACTTTCTCTTGCAACCGTCTGTTTTCTGGAATGAGAATTCTATCGATGCATCTGACGATTTTCAACGAACCGAATACACACATAATGCGTACACAAAGAGACCGATCAGAAGACAGCAGCGACATGTCTGTCTTTCAGTGTGTCTGTTGCTGTGGTTGGTGAAAGAGGCAGGGGCTGTCCGCGCCCTGCGCGTTGGATGAGCTTGGGTGTTTAGGAAAGGAGTGCCCCGGCTGACTTCCCCCAGGCGGTGCCGACTTGACAAAGCGGGGCCAACTTCACCGGAACGAATGTGTAATAATCATACAGTGGCCTTAATAGGTAGAGTATAATAGTTAGAATATAGCATAATCCGGAACCCTCAAAATAGCCTTGGTACTTATTTCAGCCACTATATTATTGCCCCACCCTTCTTCTCTTGGGCATGAGGGACCAGTCAGGTCGCACCATCGCCGGGGGCCCCCCGCTGGCAGCAAATCGACTGATGACAGATCCTCTACGGCAAGTTTCCAAAGTGAACAATCAGTCGACTGCTCAACGTTTCTCACATCTCTTTCTTTCTTTCTGGGTCGTCCAGCGACCCTCAGGCCTTCGGCCCGCCCAGCTCACCCCCTGTGCTAGTGAGTGGCCGGCTTTGGGTTTTTTCCTGACTACGGCACAGTACTACCCAGGTTTTCGTGTAGCGACTCTCTTTCTTTCCCCAGGCTTGAGGGCGTGCCCCCGCGGGAGCAGCCCGTTTTGCTGGAGGTGTGCACTCTCTCTCTCTCTTTGCTTTGCTCGGGGCTTGGGCACTCTCTCTCTCTCTCTCTTTCTTTCTTTCTCCGGGCCTGAGGGCGAGCCCCCGCGGGAGTCGCCCGTTTGTTGGTTGTGTGCATGTGTGTTACATGCTGGAACAACAAGCACTCCTCGGCGACATCTTGTACTATGCCCCGAACTAGCCGTACCAAGTGCCCCGAACTAGCCGTACCAAATGATGCCCAATGTATGTCGCCCACTGCCATCTGTACGGTGTGGGTTTTCCACTCTCCCATGTTGGGCTGGCATGTTGAAGAGGCTGTCTACGAGTGGGCCTGGTATGATCACAACAGCTTTAGTGAACTACCACAGATGCACACCAGCTACTTGCAGTACTCCTCTGTCTAGGCCACCCTCGGCTCCACTCCGCTTAGGCCCCTGGGCCTCGTTTGGTGCCTACTTCGCCCCGCTTTCTGGCAACACACGGTGTTAACAGTACGATGCTCTCTCTCTCTCTCTCTCCTGGGCTTGAGGGCCGGTCAAGGCCCCCGGGCTTCAAGCCCACCCGATCTTTTATCGGGACGAGAGGCGTGACGAACGAGTGTAGGCATGGATTTAGGCTGCAGCCATAAAGCATACGATAGCGAAATCATCCAGCCGTACACTCTCATCGACACATGCAAACTGAGGATATCCCCCGACAACGTTTTCGCGAGAATCAATGATGCAATAAGAAGCATAGTACGAAGGGCTTTTGTCGGTGGGACTCCGCTCAGTAGTAACCTTCCAGTGTTTCCCCCGCGGCAACGTCTTTCACAAGCCAGAGTCAACTGCAAAACCAGAGATACAATTACGAGTACGTATGACAACGACTTCGTCCCCGCGGGTTCTTTCCACTGATTACATCAAAAGCCTCAGTAATGACATATCGGGGGTTGTTGTTCAGCATAGCAACAAAGAGGAGGCCCATGCAAGCTACAATATCCTCCTTTTGTTGCAAGTCAAGAAACCCAGAGTAAGCTTAACCGCGAAACACGAAGGATTTCCCCCTTTCCCCTCTACGTCACAGTTTCGGGAAACAGGTCTAGGGAGTAGCAAAAGTTGTGTCGGTCGAATTTAGCTATCCCTACAAGATGACCACGCATGCATTTGAGCGAGGTGAACGTTGGCTGAGCGAAGGCCCGAGGGCCTGACTACAAATCGCATTACAAATCTTCTCGAAAAGTCCCCCGCAGGGGGTCTCAGGAGTTTTGAAAAAGTTCAGAGCGAAGGTCAACCGAAGCCGCCGTTGAAAAGGTATCTGAGTTGAGCGAAGCAGACTCCCCCGACAAGGAGTATGAACATGCGAGCTCCAGGAATGGGGGGAGAGGCACTGGTGCATCAAGATTCGAAGTACAGCACACTTGAAAAACACAACCAACTAATGATTCCCTTCCCCCCAGCTTGGCACACGAATTTGTTTTATCATTCAGCTCACGGCGCTCTCACACTCACGTTCCCCCTTGTGTCTGCCACTGGGAGACACTTGCCTCCCCCGATGCGACACACCCGGCATATCTATTCCTCCCGCAGTCCCTCCATGATGTTGAGGACGATGTAGGTCGGAGTTTGCTAGGTTGTCGACTTTGCCACTTGCTCAAACTTGTAGGGGTGGTTGTCCTCCGCCCAGCGTGCAGGTACACCACGAACAGACTCCCCCCGAACTTTGCAGCAAGCGCGAAGCAGGACAGCGTTAGTTCCCCGACAGTGGCGTGCTCGATGAAGTTCTTGCAGTCCCCCGGTCGCCTGCCGTGAGGAAGTTGTCCCGAACTTTACGATGAGCTCGATAGCATCGAGCTACCCAGCAGTCAACTAGTTACTTTTCGGGAGAAGGGGGCAGATCCACCTCTCCCCACGGCACAGGAAGAGAGGGGCTTCACTGCCGCACCTTCCCCCTCGAGAGTGCGGGGACGTCGTAGTTGGCGAAGACGATGTAGAGCACCTTGAGCCAAAATGGCTACGATGCTCTCTCTCTCTCTCTCTGTCTCTTCTTTTCGGGCATGGGGGACAATCAAATCCCCGGGCTTTAAGCCCACCCGATAGTCTTTATCTCTCTCTTCGGCTTCGGCTTCGGCTTCGTGGTAGAGAAGGCTTGTGGGGTCAGAGGTCGGGAAACAAAGACAAAGGTTTGTGTGAGTTGTGGAGTTTGCCTGGCAGGAACCCCCCCCTAACCCTGAACTTTAGCCCGCGTCCCGGCCTCATCGCCGCGCCCCCTAGGGCTAAGTCCTAAGTTCCTGCGACAGGCAAAATCCCCCACTATGGTCTGGCAAACGGTGGTCGCCTCCCAAAAGAACCACAACACTCTAAGGGCCGAGCAACGACTATAATGTAGTAAGAACACAGTTGTGGGCTGACTCCCCCGTTGCAAAAGCTTCCATCTAGGTTTCTGTTGAAAAGCTGAGCGAAAAGGTCATCCCCCAAAGTGGTGCCGGCAAGTCTCTGACGCAATGCCAATTTGTGCAAGTGCAAGGGCGTGTGGCCCTGTTGGTAGTTAGTCGGAATGGCTCCAGCGGCCCGTCTTGAATTAAGCTCATCATTGTAAGCTCGCAGAAAGACTGTTGAAGAAACTTCCCCCGCTCATTGCTTGTAGGTCACGTCGTGGTATCACCCCGCATATGCGCTTGTACACGTCTCACAGCATGCCACATGGGTCCAGGTAGTAGTCGGACCTGGTTGGGGTCGCGTTGTGTGCCCCCCGGTCGTCTTTCCCCACCTCGTCCTCGGTCTCGTTGTCTTGGGCTGCGGCTTGGTAGCGATGGTCGCGCCCCAGCATCCGTGGAACTGTTCGAGCCCCCCACGGTGCTCGGCTTTTCGGTTGTCGTCGTCTTCTCCTCGTCGTCGCCCCAGTCCACTTCCTCTTCTTTGAAGCTCTCCGTGGCTTCCGCAGTCGGGTTCACGCGGGCTATATCTGTTGAGCTCCCCGCCTTCATCTCATGCTTGATCCGCTTCCCCTCGTGAGCTGTGTCTGTTGAGCTCCCCGCCTTTATCTCACGCTTGGTCCGCTTCTTCTCCACTGCGTGTTGGTTGGCCTTCTTGTCCTTCTTCAACTTTTTGGTCTTTTTGTGGTCCTTCTTGTCCCGGTCCTTCTTCTCCGTCTTGTCCCCCTTTTTCTCGGCTTTGCTGCCCTTCGCCCCCTCCGTGAGTGTTGTGGGTTGGTTCTTGTAGCATTGCTTTGCTTGGCTTAGCATCGCCCCCACCTTCCACGGGTGTTTGGCTATATACCAAAGGAGCTCCGCGACGATCTTTGGGTTCCCCTCCTGGACTATGTCGACGAGTTTGTCGGCTTGTCTGCCGGTCTCTCTTCTCGCATTGTGCCTTTGCACATATTGCTCCCACTCCTGAGTGTTGGCCTCGTCGAGGATCTCCCCCGTTATGCGGTCTTTGTATTTCCCCGTTTTCCAGTTCTTCTTGATGTTCTTCCCGATCCACCGGTCCAGCGGGTCTGGTTCGTACAGGAGAGCTCTCCCCTTTTCAGTCTCGAAGCGAACGTAGTCGGAGTAGGGCTTTGTCCTCCCCGCGACTTCGCAAGTCCCTCCCCCTTCGGGTTGGTAGAGGTCATGTTCGTCAGCCACGTCCCTCTGCTTCCGTATGTTGCTGGGTGCCGCCGTGCTGGCGATCCCCCCCGTGGCAACACGTTGCTTGTAGCATGAGGCGCCACTGTCGTGGCTTTTGTGGCAAAAAGGTCCTTCAAGGCATGCTCGACATGTCACCCCCATGGCCTTAAGTTTCTCCGCGACTGCACACTGCTCCTGCCAGGTCGTCTTGGTTCTGCCTGGCTTTGCCGATGGGTCTCTCTCGATTCGGCTTCTTCCACCTCTGGGGCTGTCTTTCCCCCCCGGCTTGGATCTTGAAGAGCTCGACATGGATCGTGAGGTGGTAGTAGGACAAGGTCTCCCCGTGGTCCACAGTGCTGAAGTATGCTCCGTCCCCCTACTGGCGGGCCACCCTCCCGGAGGAGGGGCCGCGGTCAGGTTCGGGAGGGTGCGCTGGCAAAGGGGCCTCTTAAGCAAGACGGCAGCGGGCGGAGACTCAAGCACCACTGGGTCAAGGCGAAGGTGGCTCCTCCGGGGTAACAGCCCAGAGTAACCCCCTGCCTCTCCCCCCCGGCACAAGAGGGCGAACAGACCCCCAAGTACAAGGTGTGGCACTTGAGCCAAAATGGCCTCTCTCTCTCTCTCTCGCTCTTTCACAAGGGCTCTGGTAGAGGGTTGCCCCTCTGCCGTGCTATTTCTCTGTGTTTTTCCCTCTTTCTCTCTCGATCTCCCCCGTTCTCTGTGAACACTTTTGGCTTAAAGACACCCATGAAGTTGGCACTGTTGTCACGCGAGGTCCCGCCTTGATATGTAGGACTCCTCCTGGTGTATGACGTTAAATGAACAGACCCCGGCGTCAGGAACTTGGAGAAGTGACCTGCTTAAAGGCGACTTCAGCTAGCTTTGTTGGCTTATGTTGCGCTCAAACCTGACATGCACTCCACTGAAAACTCGATGGAATGCTCAAGCAGACGCCCTACTATGGCGCGTGGTGGTCAGAAACGACAGAAACGCCTATGTAGTAGAACTGCGGGTGATGGTAGACCTCTCCTCTGGAAAAGTTGACCTGCGAGCCGTCGACACAGATTCAGACATCAGCTGTGCAAGCATGAATTGCTCGGTACTGTAAGAGACTGGTAGCGCCTGGCCGAGAGTTGTTGAGGCTAACTGCCAACCATCAACGACGTGAATCAACGACCTTCCGACCGAAGCCTCATGAGGATTTACTTTTTAAACAAGCCTAAATGCAATTGCGCGAGAAGTCAGCCTGCATGGCTGCGTCACAAACGTTGTTGACGTGGTTGGGCCCACCAGTCTCGTTCAAAATGAGGTTCCAGTCCTGGTCGAACATGTGCTCAAACCTGGGACCTAAGACAAAGCACTAGCCTGGCGCTGCAGGAAAGTCGAACAGACTTCAAGAGGTTTTGCAAGATTTGCATTTACGCACAATGATCGGCCAGCTTTCTGCAAAACTTGGTTTCGGCAGCCCTTGGCAGTCCACCCACGCGATTGCACCCGAGTTGAGGTCGCCAATGATGTCGTGCGCATAGCCTTCACCGAAGTGCCAGTCGCCTTGCCGGGTATGCAAAGCAGTCTTTCCATATCACAGCCGCCATGATCCACACATCACCATCCAAGAGCGGGACTACTTTCATACCGCAGCGCAGGCCAAGTACAAAGGGATAGGCTCACATCCAGCCTTGCGAAAGCTTCGTTCCTGGTGTCCAGCGATACGCCTGCCAAAGCTGGCATGATTTGTGGCAAGCTGCGCAACCGACATGCCCTCCTTTTGGCAATGTCTTTCGAGATTTGCACATAATACACGAAAGTGCCTTGCAGCGTGACGACTTCACACCCTATTTTCTATGGAAACGGAGTGCAGGGTCATGCAGGGTCACACTAAACATATTGGGGAAAAATAGTTTTTCCCCAATATGTTTAAGACTGGGATTTGCTTCTGAGGCGAAGTAGCTAATTTGTCTGAGACACGAGGCACCTCCCAGGTAGCCTCGGAGGGCAGCATCTTGGCCTTCGGAAACTCGGCCTGGCTCCGGGAGCTCCCGTGACTTCCCCATATATATATATATATATATATCTATATCTCTTTATACATCTATATATATATATATAGGTATACATATACATATACATATACATACATATATATATATATATATATCATATGTCTCTTTCTTGTGAGCGCCTTGAGCTGCTTCAGCTGGTCGAAGCCATCGCCAGCATACCAATGGTATGCGATGCCAGAGAGGTATTTGGACGCAGCCTGGCAGGCGAAGTTTCTGAGAGTCTGATTGGAGGTGACATCAGCGAGCTCAGATTCTTGCAAGCAATAAAATGGGCCTCGTCTTGAAGCAACGTGCGACCGTAGACGAGAACGTGGTCTTTGTTGTGATCGAACCCGAACACCTCCACTTCCTCAAGAGACTCTGCTAGCATTGCAACATGACAGCATCGGAGGCTTGCACGATGCGCCCGGCTTACATGTATGTGCCTGCAAAACCGTAGTCAGAAAGGGCGACCTGTTTTCTTCGCTGACGCCCCTGCTGCCGTCTCAAAGAACCACTTCTGCTTCTCCTCGTGGTGCCACCAGGGCCCGTGATCGCTTCCATACTTGGTCCAGCCGCTCGCTTCAGCCATATCCTCAAAAAAGTGATCGCCAGTGTCGCTATCGTAAAACCAGGCTCGATCCGTCTCAGGGTCCTTGTACTTCTGCCATGTGCTTTCTTGCGTGAGGCCGCGAGGGGTTGACATGTCGAAGACTGGAACTTCTTCCTTGACCGGCGCTTGATTCATTTGAGGTGCGGCGCTCTGCCTTTCCCCTTTTGGTCCTTTGGCCGACCCTTTCTGTGTCCCTTTCCCTCCTTGCCCAGATGCCGCATCTTTCCATGGATCCCAAGACTTATCATCTGTCCCAAGGCGAGCTGGCGGAGCGGGTTCGGAGGGCCTTGCCCTCCAAGCCGCCTTGGACGGCCTGGGAGCCTGGTTCGAAGTCTCATAGCTTGGATCTGCGTAAGAGGATCGAGCTCGGGATTCAGGAGATTGATAAGCCGCCCATGGCGACTCGTGTTGACCCCAGCTTTGCTCTCTGGGACCACTGTAACTGTAGCCGCTGTGACCATTGGAAGCATTCCAATCATTCCAAGACTCGCCCTTCCGACCCGAGCCTCCCTTGTCCGCTCTCTTTCCACCGCCTTTTGCCGCACCTTTATCATGTGTGTATCTCGCTCCTCAGATGAAGGAGGTAAACACCGTAATTAAACATATGCAATCATAGTACATTCAAACTGCAGCACACGGCTTGGAGCGGCCGAGACACTGATTCGGAAAAGACCCTTCGCAGGCTCATCGACCTCGAAGCGCTTGCCCTGCGATCCTTCGCTCGTGCGAACCACCTGGAGCACCTGAGGCCACAAGTACACGCTATGTAGATGGCTAGCGAGCATAGACAGACGGAGAGATGGGCCGACTAGGTCCTACCAGACATCTTCTATAGATCCGACACAGCTTTCCTGCCAAGGTGCCTGTTCTCTTGTGTGTCTGATGTCGCATCGCTGCATCAGCTCATGCAGTTGCACCCATCCAGAAGCATCTGGAGTAAGGCCGTGCTTGTGCGTCTCATACCGGAGGATCCGGCCCAGCGTCTTCGAAAGGTCTGACTGCGAGGCATTTGGCATGGTGGCGGACGATGGCTCGAGCCGAGATTTTGCCGAAGCCACCAGGTCAAAGGCACGTACGCCCTCCCCATTTCAATTTGAGATGCGCTCGCCTATACTTGCTTCATGCGGCCGAGAGTCGGGATGATCCGCCTGCAAGACTGGACCTCGGGCATTGGACGGCTACTACAGCTGGCGGCCACAGTGGTTGCTTTGTTACAGGCTTCAGCTGAGCCAGTGCCAAACTTTTGGACACAAAGTGAACTCGTGATGCAGTTTCACTGAGAAGACGGCCCAAGTGCTGACCGACAAAGGCTGCCTCTTCGTCAGCTGTCAAGAGACCTGAGCATCATGTTCTGCTACCTCTCAATGCCAGACACATATTCCCTAACGTGTCTCAAGCATTGCCGTCTGGTAGCAGGCTTCCCAGGTTGCGTTATTCTCGGGCTCGTTCTGAACAGTGACTGCCCAAATGGGGATGCCGTATGCCTCTGCAGGACTTTGAAAAGGGATGGATTGCATTCCGCAATCATGTCAAATGCCACATGATCGCACCTTGTACGAGGACACCCACTTCGAGATGTATCGCGCCCAAACGTTGTGCATGTCAGCTTTCAAGCACGGTGCGCTGGAATGGTCCATCCCCTTAGCTACCGCGGTACACTTTGTGGCAAGAGTCAGTCCGTAGGCCCTACTAGTAACTAGTAGGCCTTGAGCACACTGTACGGATGCCTCCGTTAGCTTGCAAATGACGAGGTGATGCAATGAAAGTCCCAGGCTCCGCCCCCGGATTGAATGCCAGATTCTTCATCCATGCAGGTGGGCTCCAGGGGGATGCCAACATCTTCATCTCGCGCCCTTCGGCCCTGCCCGCGAAACTCTCCATCACTGCAGACACTTCATCACGACCAGCAACACATGTCATCACCAGTGTGTTCCTTCCTGGCCTTAGAAAGGATGTGTGGTTTTCAGCATCTTAAAAGTTCTGCTAGATGCCAGCAGCCATTTTGGGTCGACTGGGCTGGTGCACGCACGCCGTGAAGGTACGTCAAGAGGATACAGGCCTCACCACTTTCTGAGCGGCCCAGATGAGGGGTATCAACGCCTTCAAGTCTCTGGACAGTGTGGTGTCAAATGCCGTCAGATCCACCTGAGCTGGACCAAAGATGCGCATTCTGAGATGTCAATCCATTCCGTTGCGGCAACACTTCGCCTCAAGCAGAGCGAGTCTGCACAGGATTTGCAGCGGCCTAGAACTGAAGAGCACGCCATGAAGCCAACCTGCCTTACTTTGCCCCAGCCGCGTCTCCGGCAACCTCGTCGAAGGAATAGCTGCCCACCGAGAAGTCGCAGCTGTTAATATGCGTGCGGCCCATCACGTAGCCTCAGAGGTTACAGAAGACCAAACCTTTCTGAATATGATTTCTGCAGCCGTCGAGACGGAAAATCCTGAATTTTTTCGCAAAGACATTTGATAGTTGCGACCGATATTAGGACTTGAGGCCGTGAGCCGAGACCCTCCGTGCTGAAGTAGTCTTTCAGAAAGGCGCGTTGCTGCGCGTCGGTCAGCTTCCTGCGGAACGTCTGAAGTCAGCTGTCTGCGGCTCCAACACTTTTTGCCCCCTCAAGGCAGTAGCTGGCCTGAAGACCAGACCACTCGATTCCGTGAAGGCGCCCCCGAATCCCTCAATGACCTGTTCCGGCACGTCCGTCACTTCCACTTCGATGCCTGACGAGCTACCGGTCATGCTGTGCCGTCGGGAGCTACGGTAATCCGCATAAACTTTTCATCGGGACAAACCAACTCGGACACCTTGCTAGCTATGTTTGCATTGCAGGGCAGCCCCGACCTTGGAAAGCGAAGTCAGGAACGAAAGAGCCCGGTGCTTTCCTGAGCGTACCGTCGCAACGACAGACCTACCGTCGCAGTCGACAGACAATCCGGGAGTTCAGCCTAGAAGACTACATCGAGCTCAGCCAAAGCGGATGCATGCAGAAAAGCAGCGAACAGCCACAGCAACAGCCCTGACGGTTACTCCTTTCTGCACCTGGATTGCTGGGTGAAATCAGAACCTCGAGGAACCAGCAACCTCTCATGATTTGATGCGCAAGAAATCTATGAGGTCTGCTCGCCCTTTGACAACTGGCCCAGACCTAAACCCGAGAACCCTGAACCCCCAAAAAGCTCTGGCAGTGAAGCGTCGGCGACAGTCGGTCGCCAGTGTTCATCGCTGACTGCCATATTTCGATCTGAGGGCTGTTTGGTGCCTGCACCAAGGGAGATTCAACACTTCTTGATTCGTTCCGTTCTCCTAAGTCCTAAGAGTACAGTCGAAAATAATCACAGACAATATAGCAATATAGTATGGGAGCTGAGGGTTGGGTATAGTACGGCATTGTAAAGTGTAGCGCAATACATGGGACTTGGAAGGCTTGTTTCTGTCCTGCTTCGATGCAATGCATGCTGCGCCAACGTCATGGTGGCCTCCATCGAGCGCAGGGCTGCGCGGGGCAGAAGATCGGCATCCGCCGAAGGGGGTCGTGCCATCTTCCGTGAGGCCAGCAGTCCAATGCAAGCAATCAGAAAGACCTCAGTGGTCGTAGCAGTGTTTGCACCACAGCCCGATGCCAACAGCGCCCCTGCTTCCCAGGCAAGCTTCACAAATACCAGCATTGCGCTTGAAGTGGTAGGTGCCCAGAAGACCAGACGTAGGAGGACTCGTCCTCTCCTGAAGGCTTCGGGCCCGGCTCAGGAAACGTGCGTGCACTTGCGAAGAACACAAACCACAACAACAACAACAACAACAACAACAACAACAACAACAACAACAACAACAACAAGAACAAGGTACACAGAAAAACTGCAGCCCCGTCAACCAATATATCTGCTTTTGGTCTGTACATTAGGTAGAGACAAAAACAGGAGCCCCGTCATGTTGTTTTACGCCCCCAAACAACAACAACAACAACAACACCAACAACACCAACAACACCAACAACACCAACAACACCAACAACACCACCACCACCACCACCACCACCACCACCACCACCACCACCACCACCACCACCACCACCACCACCACCAACAACAACAACAACAACAACAACAACAACAACAACAACAACAACAACAACACAGTGGCTATGGTGTATAGTGTATAGAGTTTGAACGGTTTGCAGAGGATTTTTCAATACTTTCAGCGTATTTCCATGGATTTTGTGTGTATTTACAGGGATTTGGTGTGTATTTGCAAGGACTTGGTGCATATTTGCAAGGACTTGGTCTGTGTGTTTGCAAGGAGTTTGTGTGTATTTGCAAGGAGTTTGTGTGTATTTGCAATGGTTTTGTGCGTGTTGATTTTGCGGCATTTCTACGCATTTGTTGTTTCCAAAGACTTGTTACGTACATACTTCCGATGATCTTTTGTGTATTTGCGAGGTTTTTGTGTGGATTTTGTATGTATGTATGTCCATGGATGTTGCACGGTTTTGAAAAAATGTGTGCGTATGTCCAAAGCATCAGACGTGGATCTGAGGGCCTGGGACCAAAGTCAAAGCGGCAGACGTGGATCAAGCCCTTCTCACCATCACATAAAACCCGTCAATCTCCCCTCAAATCCACTTTGAATCGTTCGATATCTACTCCAGAGCAGCCCCTTCAACACCCATGAGAACCCCTTCTGGATTTCGTAGAGTCCCATACCTGTGGTGGACGTGTGGTGTAATGTGGTTGGTTGTTGTAAAGGGGGGGGTCAAAACAACAGACGGGGCTCCAGTTTTTGTCTCTACCACAGGGTCGAGACAAAGTCCTGATTTCAATGGGGCCTTTGTCTCTACCCTGTGGTAGAGACAAAAACTGGATCCCCGTCTGTTGTTTTGACACCCCCCCTAACAACAACCATCCAGCCTACACCCGCATTTGTAACATGTGGCAATTATTGTGTAAACCGTGGCCTGCATTCCCCAAAACTCTACAAGCACCCTATGCAGTCGCCGGCAGCATTCCCAAGTGCTTCTAGTTAACAACAATTGTGGGCTGCTGTTTTTGTCTGTACCAACAACAACAACTACTACTACAACAACAGCGACATCAGCTAATTACTGCAGCTACTGCTGCTACTGCTGCTGCTGCTACTACTACTACTACTACTACTACTGTCATTACTCTGCAACTTCAACTGCAACTACAACATCTACCACTACTGCTACTGCTGCTGCTACTACTACTACTCCTGCTACTCCTGCTGCTACTACTCCTACTACTACTACTACTACTACGACTGCTACTACGACAACGATCCCTACTGCTACTACTACCACCACGACTACGATCCCGATTGCTACGCCCAGGCTGGCGACACATAGTAATGCTCAACCACGAAGATAATACAAAAGTTAATTACAATAAGGAGATCAATCATAAGAACGGCAATAGAAACACTTCTACGAACAACAGCAGTAGCAAGCATCATAATAACATCAATCACAACAAACAATAAGAACAGTAACAATGATAACAATACCCATTACAACAGCAAAAGCAATGACAATACCGGTACTACATCCCACAAGTACAATCAAAGTGATCTGACACAGTACATTATAGTCATACTAGTGCTTGCAATAGTACGTGTAAGAATAATACCCCTGTGCGATGCTGCGACATCGTCCCGCTGGCCTCGCCAGTGTGCAACATCGGCCTCGACGACTCCTGATTGGGCGATTGTGCATGATATAGGGGCCGTAATAATTAGAATAAGATGTGGGGGGTATATTAACAATAAGGAGCCCCCAAAATAGTATAGGTAGGTATTCAGGCCCCCATAATAGTTCCAAAGACTTACATCAAACATAGACACGAAGAAGATGCTCTAATGAGGAAGCCTTGCATAAGGACGTGTGACAGACAGCTGACAGGCTCCTCGTCAGCCATCGAAGTGATGAGCGGTGCAGGCAGGGCTTCTTTGAACTGTGTTCTTCCGCCCAATGAGCATATTGAAGCTTGCTTACGTGGGTTGTGTCGTGGGCCATACATGTCCTGCATGTTTACTGGATCTGCGCAGGCGCTGAGATTGGGAGCCACACCGAGTTTGATTCAGCAATCAGCTACCTGGCTTCCCTGCCCTCACTCTCTCTTCTAATTACCTGAGAGTGCCGCCCCACCCCACCCCAAAGCATCCCCCCCTTCCCTTCTCTAAGGAATGAACCTTAAATCATATTAGGGATCCTACTAGAATTTAAGGTGCATCCCCGCCCTCTTTAAAGGCATCCTTTGCAAGCAAAGCTGTACATTGCGCCAGGCCGGGGAGAGCGTTTCCTGGGCTCAGCCTTGGGTCGGGACCCAAGACCCTCTGTGGCATCGGAAGCTTATACTTAGTATTATAGGGTTTTGGGAGTTCCTGGCTATAGTTATGGGATCATATACCCAGCCTATAATTCGTAGAGGGTTTTGGGAGTTCCTTACTATCATTATGGTATAACTGTATAACAGCCTAAACAACATTCTAATGCTTGGGTGCACTCACCATGACGAACGGACTACGAAGCCAGTCGGATATCCGGTTGCACTGAACGTTTGCATCCCTGATTGAAAACGAGGGACGGAGAGAAGGTGCCAATTCGGCACACTAGCGAGCGCATCTCTCTTGGAGTTCAGCTCTGCGCATCCGTCAATCACTGCCAGATGCTCTGCTCACGCGTGCTCTCCTTCGATGCTCCTGGGTTGCGAAAAACATAAAATTCAGCGAAGACTGCTGCGGCGCCTTCTTTTCATGCCATGTCGCGGAGGAGCCGGTGGCAATGTCTGCATATCCACCTGAGCTCGTCAGGTAGGGTACCCAGAACTATGAAGGTGGTGTAGTAGAAGTGGTAGTAGCAGTAGCAGTAGCAGTAGCAGTAGCAGTAGCAGCAGCAGCAGCAGCAGCAGCAGCAGCAGGAGTAGGAGTAGGAGTAGGAGTAGGAGTAGGAGGAGTAGGAGTAGGAGTAGGAGTAGGAGTAGGAGTAGGAGTAGGAGTAGTAGTAGTAGTAGTAGTAGTAGTAGTAGTAGTAGTAGTAGTAGTAGTAGTAGTAGTAGTAGTAGTAGTAGTAGTAGTTTTCACTAGTGACTAGTGGCTTGTCATCAACATCCTACAACGATTCTGGCGGTGCGAACGGCTGCTTTGCCAAGAAATGACCTCGTCCAGCAACCTCAAGCCTTCCATGCCGGAGACCCAGGCAGCCCACAGCACAGCGTAGCTGTGAGGACCTTCCAGTGGGCTGCAGTGCAGAAGCTCCTCGCTTACAGAGCTCAGTAAGGGCCTTCCACTCAGGCATCTCATCTCAGCCAGTGCCCACGCAGTATTGGAAAGGGACTGCGGCTGGAATTCACGGAGTGCCGGCACAGCGAACGTGCCAGGCTTTGTGATGAAGGGCGAGCGCTGGAAACGAAGGATGGCAGAGGCCCACAAGATGTTGGCACTGCCCCGCGGCTCCAAAGCCAGGGCGGCTGTGGCAGCAGTGGCGCTGAGGAGCGGTTTCTGCACGGAAGCCAGGATCCTGCAGGCCCATCCGGTGTTTGCAAGGCCTTGCGGCTCGGCTTCACGAATTCGCGTGAGCGCCTCTTCGGCAACCGCGTCTAACAATGGTGCACGGCGCAATGATACATCTGCATATGCCCAGATCGTGTTTGCAAGACTTTGCCATTCGAACTCGGCAAGGCTCGCGGCTCCTCTGATGGCAATCGATTCCAGCAGGGACGAGTCATGCACTGCCAGGGTAGCGAACGCCCAGACCACATTCGCCAGTTCTGATCCAGCAAACTCTACCAGGTGACATCGCCCGAAGCTTGCGATTGCGCTCACGAGAGGGGTGTCGGGCATTGCCAGGGCGGCACAAGACCACAAAGTACTCGAAACGTCTTGCCTGCTGTGCCAGGACAAACCCGTGGACACGGCTGCGGCCGCCGCTGCTGTCAGCAGCGGCTCGACGGAGACTGAAATCTTCGCGAAAGCCCACATGGTGTTGGACCTGGACTGTGGGCTGAACTCTGCGACCTTGGAAATAGCTTCCCCAGCAAGGGCTTCAAAAAGGGACCCATGCCACACCAGCAGTTGGGTCATCGCCCAGACTGTGTTTGCAATCTCTTGTCCATCGAACTCCTGAACCATGCGCCACGCATCCGCGACTAAAACCGACACGAGTGGCAAGTTTAACATGGAAAGAGTAGCAAAAGCCCATGTCGTGTTCGCCACGTTCTGTGGTTTGAACTCATCGTGCAGTTTGATGGCTGCCTCGGCCAATGCGTCCATCAGTGGCTCTGAGCGGACTCCAAGAGATGCAAATGCCCAAGCTGTCATCGACACACCTTGCGACTCCAACTCGTTCACACGCATCAGGCCGACCTCGCAGACTACCGTCACGAGCGGGGTGTCATGCTCAAGTAGGACAGTTAACGCCCAGGCTGTGTTGGACAGGGACGGTGGGCTAAACTCCCATCCCTGCTGAACTGCTGCACCAGCGAGCGTCGTGAATAGGGGCCGGTCGGCGAATGACAAGCCGGCATATGCCCAGAGCAGGTTGGAGATGCTGAGCGCTTCACAGGCCCCTTCAGCGACGAGCTGGCGGGCGCGGGTAGCCAGGGCCTATAAAAGCTTCTCTTTCCTGAAGGCAATGGCAGCGCAAGCCCATGCCAAGTTTGCCACATTCTGCAAATCGAACTTCTGGAGCCGGCCGTGCGCGGCTTCTCCTGTGGCCTCGACCATGCTCCCCTCCGGAACAGCCAGTTTCGCGAAAGCCCAGGCCGTGTTCGCAAGGTTCTGTGGCGAAAAATGCTAAAGTCTGGACGAACCCTCTCACGCAATTGCTCTCAAGAGCGCCGTGTCACCGAAAGCCAGGCTTGCAAACGACCATGCGGTGATTGAAAGAGCCCGCGGCGAAAACTCCAAAAGATGCCTCCGGCAGCTCTGCGCAATGCCCTGCATCAGGGGTGTGTCGCTGACCACTAGTTTGGCCACTGCCCATGCGAGGCTGGAAAGCTCCTGCGCTGACAAGACATCGGCTCTAGCTGCCAGCTATGCGCAGGCATCGGTGGCAAGTCGGCGCAATGGCTCTGCATCTTCGGCTTATGCCCCGTCTTTTCGGCTCTCCCCAATATCTGTCACTTTGGCCAGGCGATTGATGGCAATCACCGTATTGCCTGGTGCGAGCCCGGATCGGAGCAGAACTGCGATGCCATGCGCCGACGAGGAGAGCAGCTGCCTGTGGAGGGCGGCATCTCCAATGGCGAGAGTACGCAAGGAGCGGCTCTGTGGGTCCATGGCGAGTCCATGTGGACAAGCTGCTCACCGCTATAAAGCTTTTACGTGTGCTTCCGCGTGCGAAGTTTGTGATCATGGGACGTCTTGCTTCCACAGGTTTCAGGTCGCAGGGCATAGGGTTGCTCCTTACACTTCCGAGGCCGGCGACTTGTGCGGCACTCTCATCATCAGTGTTGTTCTTCTCGATTTAAAACTTTTAAAGGCTGCCTCCGACATAGATCGCGGGTCCTGAGGCTCGCGCAAAGAACTGTACAGCCTCCTCGAACTCTGCTTCGGTCAGCTTTACCTCGCGGAGTTTCAGCTCAGGAACACAACGGACGCCGGGAGACTCTTATAATCATTACAGTCTCCCTCCCATCTTCTCTTGCAAAGTAGTAAGTATGCAGCCGTTTTATGGTTATTCTCCCTCTTGCTATCATTGTGAATAATCGCCGTTTCATAAATGCGGCTACTACTGCTGTCCGAGGCACGCATGCCCGAGATGGCGAGGAGGGTGAGACGGCAGCCTCCTGTCGGCGAATGGGTCCTGAGCTGTGCCCCGACGGCGTGGGAGCTGTCGGAGAAACTTAGGGGCCGAGAAGGAGACGCGACTTCCTCGTCTTGGGGTTCAGCTGCACCTGTGTCGGTAGAGTCGGTAATCGGTGTATAATAATGTGGAAGAAGGGAGATGCGTCTTTCGTGATTGCCCCGCGCCTGGTTTCCAAGATCAATCACATACTTCCAACCTGCAGGCATTTGGATTTGAACGAGTCTCTGGCAACACCCAGACAGAATTAGGCCTCGTGGTCCCAGGCGCAGCTCCAGCATAGGAAGCCTGTGAAAAACACTGGAACCCCACTCCCCTCTTCGTACGAGTTGGTGAGATCTACGTCTAGGCGGGCGGGTATTGGCAGGCATTTCTCTGGCCCTCTTTCGTCGCTCGGGCTTATCGCCAACCCGGTGGCTCCCCTTGCTTCTCTGTGCTTCGCGTCCACGGCCGGCAGGTATTGAAAGCCGGTGCTCGCACGGAGGGTGCCAACTTCTCTTGCCACCAGAAGCTGCCCTGCTTCTGCTACCTTTATCCACCAGAAGGATTGAAATCTCGAAACGGACATGGTTCAGCTTGCCACAAGCTTCAGTTGGCCTCTTGCTGTAGGCGGCTTCGATGGCGGCAGACGCCTGGCTAACGACTATCTACGAACAGGGAATGCTAAAGCCAGCTGCGCAGACTGCGTTCGAAACCACAAGGCGGGAATCGCTGGAGAAGTTCCGGTCTTGATCCATATGTAGCTCTAAGCAGGACTGTACCGAAGTTGAAGGCATCGCACGATGGAAAGCAAAAAACATCACTCAACAGCCCCAGTCTCAAGGTCCGTGACCCTGCAAAAGTGTTGGGTCCTTGACCCCAGACCTCAAAGTCGAAATAAAGACCTCAAAGTCGAAAGAAAGCAATGTTTCCATGCATTGTGTCCGACCGTTTGGTGATTGGGCCTGCCTCTTCCTCGTAGCCGGCCCAAGAGCCATTCTCCACCTGGACCTGGTCAGGATCAGTCGGGCCCACTGCCACTGGCCTGAGGCACAAAAAGCTCTGAACTAGCACTACAGCAGCCTGGATTCTGCGTTTCACAATTTCTCAGCTGGTCTTCAGGCCGGCGTGGCTTTCTGGAAGGCCTCCCACTGTGTGGTAGGCCCACGTCGTACAACTCCTCTGGCTCTCATTGCCTCACCTCAGCTGTCCAAAGCCAACCAGCAGAATGTTGTTAATTAAATATGGGTTATGAGGAGGACCCTTGTTATGCGTCATGAGCACCCCAATGTGGCAGTATTCCGACCAGCTCCGCTCATGGTCTGAATCACCACGAGTTGCAAAAGCTCTGAGCGTTGAAAACCGCTGCGAAGTCCTCTGTCAGTTTGGCATCGCCGCCAAACCTGGACATTTTGCATGCTTGCCTTGTCAAAGCCGGACGTGGCAACGGTTTGCGCCAGCGAGGACTAGCACTAGCAGCATTAGGAATCGCGCGCCGGTAATGGCCGCAGTGGCAATATACGCAGGATTTGAGGCGGCAGCGGAACGAGAGGCTTTGAGCGTTGGGTTTGGGCATCAAAGGGCCTGGAAGCTTTGGCGTCCTCGTAAGCGAGGTGATGCTGGCGGGACCAGAGCCAAGTGCATTCGTTGCAGAAAACTCGCAGATGCTCACCGACCTCAGATATGACTGCTTGTTTTCAAGCTTATCTATAGATAGACACGCCGGATTCACATCTATCTACCACCCTTTTCTACCAGAAGTTACTGATACTTTCTGGCAACATCCCTGGCTGCGCATCGAATACCCCTAGCTTTCTTATTTCTGATCGAGAAGCTATGTCTCGGCTGGAAGCTCCGTGCGGCAGCCGCTGCAGCGACACATCCTGACAATGCTACGCCGCTACGCACCCGACCTGCCTTGAGAACGGTCACCCGGTCACCATACTAGTCGTGAGCCGAGCGACTTCGAGAGTGCCCAGGCCCAGCTTGGAAACCCTCTGCGAAACCCTAGACAACGAAAATGGGTAAGCCGCATTCTTTTCCACCGTGGAGTTGTATCTGTCCGGGTGGATGGCGTCGTCTGAGCTGCTTTCGCTGTACGGACACCATGTTACCATACCGAACCACACGCACGAGGCATGTCGGGACTCGGACATGCGATTTGCATCAACTGTCGCTGCGCCTCCCATGGAGCCACTTTGGTCACAGTGTGAGTGTGCTTCTCCAGGTACTGTAGAAGCCGTGACGTCCGCCCCTGACGATGTGCATTTTAAAGGCGGGCCAAATATACAAATTACGGCAGTCAGCACCATCCGGCCACGGGCCAAGCATCACCAAACGAGAAATTGCTCCCGACTCCCGACCCAGATCAAGTCTGCGATTGCAGGCCCTGCCTCCAGGCATGGATCCGCCTGACCTTCGCCGGCTTAGGCTCGGAATTCAGATTGGGCTTCTTCAAAATGCATGGCTTTCAAGTCCGTGTCTAGGTCAATCTTGCCAAACCGACCAAAATGCCACGGACGGCTGCAAGCAGGCTAAGGTGCCGGCGGTCGAAAGCCTTCCTCAGTTTCAGATTGCTGCGCATGTGTGGACGGCGTATGCCAGGACTGGCACCGATGCAAAGCTGCTGGGAAATTCCCACAAGTCATGTCCAATCATATCTAACCGGTCCGAGACTGCCAGAGTTTGTACGAAGGAGTGCAGTGGTAAGCATGCTAGCGCAACAAGGTCTGGGTCCGGCAGTCATCACAACTGGTATCAGAAAAACACACGAAGAACGGCTGCTGAGGAAGAACGCAGAAAACGAGCACTACGCCACCACGCAGTGAGAATGGCGATGATAGCAGCAAAGCTTCTTCCCCATGCAAGGCAGGAGCTGAGGAGCTGAGGAGCTGAGCCTGGGACCGGAAGAAGTCCAGCGTCTTGCCGGAGCTTTTGGCTACTTGGAATGCCTGCAAAGCAGTGAAGTCAGGGCTCAAGGGTCTTTCAAGGGTTCACAGAGGGGTGTACCCATAGGCAAACAGGGTTGGAGCTTCAAGTCTCATACCTCCACACAGCTTGCAAGGTCGGTTGACGTAGCAGGTGCAATCGGCGCACTTTCCCCCGAGCTGATGATGACACTGACTGGAATCTGGAAGCGTCATCTCCCAGTGCACCGAAAGACCACAGGTTTCTTGCCTGTCTTGTACATCTACAGGACTTTTCCCGGGTCTCGCAGTGTAAGATCCCCATCTCGAATGTAGTGCCAGCATTCAGGTCACGCGTGCCGGCGCCATGGATCCGGGACATACTGCGGTCCCGCTGTGCCATAGAAGGAAGTCGGCGGTGGCGGCGGTGGGGGCTGCCTGGCACGTCCACAGCCGGTGATGAAGCACAGAACCACCAGTCCGATAACCGGCGTGCCAAGGAAGAGGTAGAAGTTGGTCCAAACAGTAGCTGCATCATGGGCCAAGTCCTTGTTGTACCAATCTTCAAACACCTGGTTTTGCATGCTTTGCGACATTCGGGTACCTGTGCTGGATCGCGACAAGCATTGCAACAAGTGTTTTCGAGAGTTCGCTTTGTGAACCATTGGAACCCGGGTAAACAAGCAGAAATACCGGCAGTTCTTCTCGGCAGCTTGATTTTCCTTCAGCGCACAGCGCGTGGCTTCGTCTGAGTGAACCTTCCAAAGCTCAATATTCTTCTGTTTGACATGCACGAATCCTTCGTCCAGAACAGACTCAAGGCTCCTCAGGGCACCGCGGTGTGCATCGGTATCTTGAAGGTCACGACCCTGCTCATCTAGGAGCTCTCGAATGCTGGCTGCTAGCTGCCTGTGCTCTGCCGTGAGGTCTGTCTCCGAGGCAGGCATCGCCAAGTGGGTCTTGCGTGTCTTGTACGAGCTGACACAACGTTCCAAGGCTGTCCGGAAGTGTGCGCTGAGCCGTTGATCGTTGGCGGCACTGTACCTCGTCATCCTGTTTTCGTACGTCTCCGTTTGGACCAAAGCTTTGTGTGTTTTGTGGTGGCTTAGAAGCTTCATCCACTTGTGGCCTGCCAGTTTGTCCTCAAATGCTTGCCAGCATCGTGATTGCACGATGGACTGCAGCTCCTTTAGCTGCGTCTTGCCCAACAGCTTGTTGCCCACCAGCTTCAACTCACGGTCCACTGCCTCGTCAGCAGCCGCAACGGCTGCTTTGAAATGCTGCATGATTTCCCGTTCGTTCTCCAGCTCACGGGCACCTAGCATGGTGTGCAAGTCCACACTGAGCTGGCTCGCCGGATCCTGTGCAAAGGTTGGCATCGAGGCTGCCTTGCCATGAATAGGACTTGGCCCTCTGGCAGCAAAGACTTGAAGCTTCGCATTAAAGTCGGCCACGATCTTGCGGATGCCTTCCTCTCCACTCTTTCTAAATAGGTCCGGGTCGAAAGGAAGTTCACGCTCTGCCAGCAACCGGCCAAAGCTTTCCTTCTCCCTCACAATACCTTCGTTTGTCCATCGCAGTACTCGCTCGTGGTACAAGAGAAGCTTGTGCTGAAAGTGCACTGCCATTCGCTTCCGAAGTTCCGGTATGTCTTGGTTCACATCAAAGTCTCGCAGTAGTTCCACGTAGAACTGAACTGACTTGGTCCTTGCCTCCTCCACCTTGTCGTTGAAGTCTCGCAGTGGGATGGGGTCTTCACCCTGATCGATGCTGGACATGAGTGATGCAAACCAGGTATCAGCGTCTTGAAGGGACATCTCAGCAACCTGGGAACTGTATTTTAAACTGTATAGAGTCTTATGCGGGGTTTTGGACCTTGGTTGAAGCTACTCGACTAGGAAAATCATCTATCCCTCTTCTGGCAACTAACAGAAAGGTCCCGAAGAAAAACCCAGCCACTTGTTGTGTCCAGGTCGTCCAGAGTGATGGCAGCTCATGGAACATGCCACGTTGTAGGCCTTGGACAATGAATCGCAGCGATCTCTCCAAAGTACGGCCCGTCATGGGCTCGCCCTCGAAGGACCGAGCGTGCAAGCTGGAGAGGACGTGCGTTTTCAGCTCTTTCAGCTCCTTCTTGAACTCGGGCGTGAGTTGCGACCATTGGAGCTTCGAAAGGTCCTGCAGCTCTGGCTTTGACGTCGCTGGCAAGAATAATGTCTTTACCTTCACGCTGCTGTACAACTTGGAAAGGATATTCACTTCCTCGCCCGAGGTATCGTTGACGTAAGACCTAGACTGAACTTATTGTAATTTTAGCTGTTTCTTAGGGATTATATAATAACCAAAGATTTAAGAATATTTCTAAGTACCCCCCAAGAGACAAGTAGGACTTGAGCCAGGCGGTGGCCGGATCGGAGGAGTGTGCGTGAGCCTCAGGGAGCTCCTGCACGAAGTCCTCCACCACCCATGTCCTCGGTTTAGGGTTTTTGGGTTTCGGGTTTAGGCTTATGGGTTTAGGGTTTTGGGTTTAGCGTTTTGGGTTTAGGGGTTTTGGGTTTAGGGGTTTTGGGTTTAGGGTAGCAAACCGCTATATGGAAGTTTCCGAGAATTAGGGGTTCCCTATTTTGGGATCCTTCTGATAAGATCCTACTTTTTAGGGTCCCCTATTTCGGAAACACCCACATACTCTTTTGCTACTAGAACCCTGATCATGGTAACTTCGAATAGACAATAATTGATATATAAGCTTTATGATAACAAGGGCCCAGCGTCAAGGGTGGAAAGCTTCTCACACTCAGGAACTCAGGGGTCTCAAGATTCGCCTGCTCCTTGGATGTTCGGGTTCGGAAAAGTTGTGCACGCCGCGCCAACATCTCCAAAAGGTTGACTGCCTGTTGGTCGATGATCTTCACGGTGTTGTACACTAGGTGGCCACCCAGAAGAGTTGCAATAGTGAAGACCTTGGCATCGTAGCTCTCAGCCACGCCTGGCCCGAAAAAGCCTTCGGAGTCCATCAACCAAACCTCTGACCCATCACTTGCGTGCCATTCCGTGCGACACAACCAGATCCCCATAGTCTCTGGGGATGTCTTCCGACCAACGGAAAACACCTGTGTGTCACCCAACAGCGCGTTCAGCAAGAAGCTCTTGCCCGAGTGGAAAGGGCCGACGACGGAGATAATCGAGATGCTGCTCGGATGTCGCGCTAATCTTGCCAACCCTTCTGGGACTGGCAGCATCGAAGAATGGTTTGCAGTCGGCCTCACCACCTGGAAGGGTACCTTGAAAGGAACCTCTGAGATGCATAGTTGTACCAGCAAGAAGGCTGACAACCATCGACCTTTGCATTGGATCATCTTCAGATTAGAAGACAGTCGTGCACAGGTTGCGTGCAACTGCTGTTTGCTGAAGCTGGTCAAGACTCACTATGCCTCCAAACTGCTTCACGGTCTCACTGACTGGTGCACAGACTAAGCCGTGTTGTGAACAGAATCCTGCCATGTGTCGTTCTGCTTGAGCCTGTATGTTTAAGTCGATTCGTCACCTGTTTCGCGGAAGCCAATGCTGCATTTTCAGCACCCGCAACTAGGCGCTGTGCGCTTAGCTCAGGGTTTAGCGATCATGCCAGAAGGCGACACTGGCCGTACTACGCAGTGCCTCTAGTAGTGCGCCTGGTGCGGACCGAAGCAGGGCATTCGCTCCTGACACCGAACGGTCCCAGAAGCATGGTAATCAGCGAAAAAAAAAGCGAGAAAACTCCACGGCTCGAGACTGCGGTCGAACGATGCCGCATGACGGACGATGACAATTATACATCCCACAAGACACGCATCTCGTCACGGCAAGTGTCACCAAAGAATGCAAACTCACAAGCAGATGCCCGCACCTTCACGATTTCCATGCATCGTCATGCCGCAGGCACGCTCTAGAAGTTGAACTCCTGGCAGCGGTTTTGGGCTGTTGTCACAAACAAGCATGCAGCGACATCGTAACCGCATGTAGCGGCCTCTCATACAAACGATACTAAGCCAAAGTACACCACACTGTCTTTAACGCGTCCAATCGCGCCGTGCTGTATATGGTCTTGAATGAGAACAGGGTATAGTGGACAGATGAGCACAGCGGCTGCATACTTACAAATGCACGCGCACATAACACGCAGGCAGTGTATATATCAACAGATAGATGAATAGGAGTAGATAGGTGTGTACCTCTATCCATGCATATATATATACACACATATACACGCATGATCACGCATGTGTGTGCATGCATGTTCGCGTGCGTGTATACAAAAAATTGCCTACCTAGCTTGGCAACCACTTTTGCCACACGCCTGGATTCCGGGTGAAGACCTCTCCGTTGTTCTGCACCGTTATCTCCTTGCACGACATATCGCAGCCTACCTGTGCAGAAGCTCGAAGAAACATAAGGATTCAGAAGCATTGGGAATCCATACAGAGAATCCCGTAAGCACACCCTACACCGTGACCATACCCATGCTCCTCGACTAAGGAATGAAGCTTGGCGAAGCCAAGGATGGTCAGGTAGATATACCTTCAGGAAGCAGGTCGGAGACTGCTTCAGTATCTATCTATCCATCTATCCAACTTTCCATCTAGATGTGAATGTGAATGCACATGTGTATATATACTTATATATGTAACCTATGTATACATATATATATATATATACACATACGTACATATATATATATATATATATATATATGTGTGTGTGTGTGTATGTTGGTAGGTATGTAGGTATGTAGGTAGGTAGGTCCTGGCACGTATAACCGCGCTCTTCTGCAGGCTTTGCGGTATGGAGGCTTTCGCATTGGAGGACATTACTTTAGGAAGGTGGGTGGTGGAGGCGGGGTTGGGGGTTCGGGCCGAGGGCTGATTTCGTTCTGGTTCCGCCAGCTTGGTGTGAAAATGAGCTCTGAACCCATGCCTGCCAGCAAAAGTCAAGACAGTGCCAGGGGGCCCAGTTATATGGAAGGAAGCAAAATGGGCTCTGAACCCATGCTGCAGCCGCAAGTCAACACAGTGCAGATATATTCAGAAGCCATGTAAAGAAATAATGCGACGCCCTGAGTTTCAAGGCAGTTTGGTCCCTGAAAGTCATTTTCACAGGCACTGTCTTGACTTTTGCTGGCAGGCGTGGGGTAAGAGCCCATTCCATGTAGACCTGGCTTCCGAAAACCCCTGCGGTAACTCTTACGATCGTGTGACCAAATAGGTAAGTAGGTAGGTAGGTATGTATGAACATGCATGTAGATATACACACCGAAGAACTACGTACACATACACAAACGTGGACGGAAACATGTGTAATATTTAGAAACACAGAAACAAAAACAACGGCACACACACACACACACATCTATATATATATATATATATGTATGTGTGTGTGTATGTATGTACGTGTCTATGCATGCATATATGTATGTATGTGCGTGTGTGTGTGTGTGTCTGTATACACAAACACATACAGACGTGTAGATACAATCTCATGTTAGAGTATATTCTGCTTTGTGGTTTTAACACATCATACCATGGTATGTAATGTTATACCGATTTGTGTCAGATAAGCTGATACCTTACAATTTTTTGTATTGTGTGATGCCAGGTTTGTTATTATATAGGCACAAAACAAGATCATACTATGCGAGATTTTTGCAATACTCTACACTCACATGCGCTGTTATAGCTGAGCTTCTGTGTCTTACAGTATCACTGGGAATAAATAGCACATAGGTACAAGGTAGTAATCAGGTAATATGCTGTTCTATGACAGAACATGATGTGATATGTTACTTTAAGTTGTTATTGCATCACATATTTCAGTACATCATGCCTGTTGGAAACACCATGTTTTCTACATAGGTATGTGACCGGTGGGATGTACATGTTATTGCTGACAATGTAAGAACGGCCGACCTAACATGAGAACACCTGACACCAGCACCAACAACAACAACAACAACAACAAGAACAATAAGTCATCACCGTCACTGTCATCATCTTCATCAAATTGCATCTATCTATCTATCTATCTATATATATATATGCACACATGCACTCATGTATGTATTTGTATTTTTTTAGTACATATAACTGAATAAATAAATAAATATGTATATATGTATATATATCTTATATTTCACGTGACGTCTGCAACGGCAGCTCAGCGCAGGCAGGTGTCTCGAAGTCCGAATATCCGGCGCAGAAGTCCTCTCTTGTGATCTTCTGCCTGAGTCGCTCCCTAGGGTTTTGGGATGTTTCGGGTGTAGGGAGTTTAGGGTTGGACTCTCGCAACTCGGACAATGCAGGTGAGGTTGGTTCGAAGGGCTGTTTTAACCGACACGCAGAGCTACATCACACTTCTCGTGATTCGTCGCTGCCCACTTCTACCTATATCGTCTGCAAGACGGGTGAAACTTCCTTCCCTTCTCAGCAATGCACGAGTGCCACGTCTCACGCCCCTTCTTGCTCAGTAGCCACTGGACCAGAGTCCACGGGCTGCAGGCGCCCGGATTGAACGGGAACATCTTCTTCAAATCTTCCGAGCGAGGTTGAGCATCGGGGACAGCTGTTGGGTTGCCGATGGTGGACGACCACACGGCCGCCACGAACTTCGAGCAAAACATGGCCTTTGGCTTGATCCGGGTGGTGCTCTGGTTGTTGCTGACATGTGTGCGGAAGTTGTCCTTCATGCCTTCGAAGAAACCTTTCTCAGTTTCATTCACGCTAGGGGTGTAGTTCCACATCTCCGCGACCCTCCCTGGAGTGACAGCTTCGAAATATTCAGACTTTCCGGGTGTGCCCAGCCATGACTTGCAGTGACCGACCACTGCTCGGTGCCACTGCCCAACCGTGTCTGCATAGTGGTCCAGATACGGCTGCCACATGAGCGCCCGTTCAGCAGCTAGCTTCCGGTAGGCGGCCGCATTGACAGTTCCGTCGCCAACAAAACGTGACACCACGATTTGTCCAGGATTCCCACATACCCGACCGCCACGTTGGACGCCGTCACCATATGCAGAAATGGAATAACCATCACCAATGCCCATCTCCGTGTGCGTCCATTTCGTCTGATTCGTGTGAGGGGTGGTCTGACGGACATGCGCGTAGATCCTCGCAACCCCAGCACCGGTCCAGACACCCATCTTCCCCAAGACCTTTCCAGCATTCCGCGTCATATCCCATAAGAACTTTCCGGCGTTCGCAGCAATATCGGCCAAACCCTTCCCGGCTCGCACGATGGTGTTCAGCGTGTGTTTCCAGGAAAGTTCGAAGACTCTACCCACCTTCGACCCAAAGGTGCGATTCTTGAACTTCACGTCCGAAGTCGTGTTGAAGGTTTGCGAGTAGTCAAAGTATGGGCCGTAGGAATAGTGGAGCCGTAACTCCAAAGCTTCACCTTCCGATGCAACCTCGCTCATCATCCCGGCAATCTTCTGAAAGTCAGGCCCACCGTACTCGAATGTCATGAAGTCCCCAGCTTCCACTCGCAAATCCGCAGGGCACGCTGGGAGGGGAGTGTCGTCGTCTGCACCCATGTCGTCTTGCGGCACCAATTTTGCCACCTTCTCGGTGACGACATCTGAAAGCTTCTCTTTAAGGATGGCCAACTCATCGTCGTACTTCTCGTATTTCGTCGGACGATTCTTCTTCAGCTCCTCGATCAACTGGTACAGGGCGGCAGCATAGAAATCTAGCTCCTCCTCCTTGCAGTTCGAGCTCAGCACTTTGATCAAGGGCTCCATGCTGGAGGTGCCCCAAAACTTGTACCATGCACGACCCTTGTAGGTTCCGAGCTTGCTGTTGTTGGAGTCGTCGCCTTGCCCCACGCCCTTGAGCTTGTTGACCCAGTCCTCGCAGTGCCCATTAAGCTCCGAGGTCGTGAGGTGAAGCCAGCGGCAAACGGATTTGCATCCTTGCTCCGATGTGTCTCCATCCTGGCAGGCAGCTGGCTCTTTCTCCCCCGACATCTTCGCAGAGCTGCGGAAGCCGGCACCTTGGGAAATCAAGCCCAGGAGCACGACGGAGAGTAAGGGAAGGCCATGCGCACGGATGCACATGGCTCGTGGATTCGCCAGGCGTAACAAGTCAGCTGCCGAGGTGTACTGGCTCGGCTTGAACCGTAGCCATTTAACGGATTACGGTTCAGGACATCGATCTCCCGATACGCCATTATCGTAACTGTTACAACTTTTCTTCTTCTTCTTCTTACTATCTTATTTGCAGTTTTTCAGATTATAGGCACTACTAGTTCAGAATTTCGTGCGATCCTCCGGGAGCCCCAGCGGCCTGAGGCCCGGGCTCGAGATTCGGCCGCTCATGGAAATGCTTCAAACCGCCGAGGCTTCCCTTATGCCTGCCACGGGGATGTTCGGCGGGGGGCGGGGGGCAGGGGGGTCTGAAAATGCTGGGGCCGCTTGGGGTACCTTATCTAAGGCTCTAAGGCTTTTTGTGGGATTTAGAAGCTACGCTGTGGATTGAGAAGGCCAACATAGGGGTCTTGATGCGAGACTGAATTGGAGACTCTCTTGCTGCCACGAGCCCCTGTTGACTATGTGGCAGCTCGTGAAGCCAAGTCGCATCCACAGAGCTGCGACGATCTCCATGAACAGCGGCGAGAAACTTCTCTCCTGCAATTTGCAGATTGGCTCAGAATCACAGCCGTCACCAGTGTCCAAAGCAGGTTTGGCCCCCGGTGCACCAAATACATGTCACTGTTGGCAAAGCTGCTCTTGGCAATCGTGCCCAGTTTGGTTACAACCCGCGCGTGTCCCAGCATGCTTGCTGGGCTCCTCCTCGCTGAGGCAGGAGATGTCAATGTCCTTTGCTGCGACATCTGGAGGACACACACGTGCTACACGCTCATGCACTTTACTCCTTGGTCACCGAACTATTCGGCAGCCCGGCGACCACAATCTCAGGGTGGGTTGATGCGGTAGCTCCCATGGCTGTCCCGTCCAAGGACGAGAAGGGCCGCTTCTCCCCCATCCGAAAGGGGAAGGCGACGCTCCAAAGCTCTGTTGAGGTGGTGGTCTCGTTGACGGTGGTTCTTCGGCTACAGTAACTGCCAAAAAACTCAAGAGCTCAGTGAGATTTATGCAGCTGCAGCAACGGAGTTTCGTGGATGGGATGGGGCGTTCTGCCATGTTTGCTGAGCAACCTTCTGAGACAAAAAGCTGTGGAATAGGAATGACCTGCAGCCTGTGACATGACTTCTTGCTTGGCCTGCTTGTTTGCGTGCCTATGCTGCATGGTATAGCTGAGGATGCCGCCGGAGCCGGCTGACATGCATTGCCAGAAGGAAGCATGTCCACCAGACCATGGCCAATGCGCGTCACATCTACAGAATATAACAAGTGTTAGACCCGAAACAACGACAGAATATCTGGCACTGCAAGCCCTGCCCTACATACCCCAGAAGGAGCAACCTCCCCAAGACCACCCTATGAGTCCAAAGTGCACATCACCAGAGGTTAAACGCACGATTGGCACCCCAGAGCACGCACGGCACCGTGGCGGGAACGTGAGCGGCATTACTTTGGAGGCGGAAACACAGCTAAACATGCGCAGCACTGCGGCGGGAGCACGATTGCTCAGACTTAGGGATAAATTATGCACACCTTCTTTCCCTCACGCATTGCAAGGATCGATGCCTACTAGCGAGGTTTCTTTGGCACCGCAACAGGAGAAAGTAGCCATGACATGTCAGTCATAGCTGGATGGCCCTTGCCTTCAGTCAGGAAATCGTCTTAACTCCGCTTTGACCGAGGGGATTTCGAGAATACCCCAAGAAGGCTCCAGGAGCCGAATTGCGGCCGGACTTTTGCGTTTCTCTGTGATTTGCAAGCCAAACTCAGCACAGGACTCCGGGGGGGAGCACGATTCCCGAAAAGAATAGCACGGCCTTGCGGCGCCGCGGTTCGCCACATTTATGCGCGGCAAAGTGTTGGATTCTACGCTGGGTTCGGCCTCTCGGGCGGCGTGAGACCGCGGAACTCCCATGAGAACACGATTGTGGTCGAAGAGTGGCATTGCGCCAGTGGGAGCCACAGAACCGCAGTGCATGCCTGACGAGGGCGCCTTTCTATCCCTTGACTCTGAAGGTGAGAACTCCGTAGACGTAGATCGTAATACACTGCGTTGCTGTTGTGTAGGTGCTTTCGTGTATGCACATGCTTTGCGCAACCATTTCCTGCTCCTTCTTCTGCCAAGCTGTTGGCGGGAGGCAAAACTGGCAGCAAGCAAAGAAGACCGCGGGCAAATACAAGACCACCGACTCTGTTGACATACATGTGGGCAGATATGTATACGCGTTATCTCTCTCTACTTTGTGTTTGTATATATTTATACATGTATCAACATGTACAGTAAATACACGCATCCATGCATGTAGAGAAAATACTAGCTTCGCTGCAGACTCAAGCCACTGAAAGGCTGCTCGCTCTCCTGGCCTGCAAGGCACGGCCCAAGGCGAGCTGCTCCTGAACCTCATCTGCCTGCAGGAGAAAGCTACTGGAGGACGGGCCTTCAACCTTCACTGCCTTTGAAAATCCATGGAAGAAGCAGCGTCTAAAAGAATTAAAAGACTCGTGGGCCTCGTCCCCCAAAGTGTGCTGCATGCATTGGGCAGCAAGTCTAAACGTGCATGGTCAAGCAGGCAGAAACAACGAGTTCAGCATCGTGGTTGAGCCCTACGGATGCTGCTGCATCTACTTGCTATGCTGCTACGCATCCTAGCACGATTTACTGACACTGTGACAAACACAAGTTAGTACACATGCTCTATGAGAGCTGATCTCCTGTATATCCATGTGAATCTTCGCTAGGGAAGCCTTGGGCCGGATGTTGTCGTCAGCCATGGAGAACCGGATGCCGTGACCGTAATCTCATCTTTTGATCGGCTGACAAGGCTCGAATGCCAAACACTCGATGGGCTGGAAGACTCATGCATCGCCCGTGTGGGCATCGGTTCAGTCGCCTCTTTTGCTCTGCTGCTGGCTTTGGCAGCTCGGCCGGCATACAAAGAGCACGGCTCTCTTGCACAAGCACTTCAGGAGATGGAGCACTCCACATCCGGCCTTATGTGCTGCCGCTGAGAAGCACTTTCTCATTGCTGATGAAGCATACTCGACTCTTGCATTATCCACTCTGTAGGTCGAGGGCTCTTCTGTTTCAGCAAGTCGTTGCGCAAGAACCTCCCGGGAGACAGAGTATCTTGCACACGCTCCTGGCAAGCAATGTCAACCTCACAATTCCCCTCCACCCCCTCGGTTGATGTCAGGGGTTGAATATAGCGGGGTGGGGGTGGGGTCCCATACTGTGCTCGATGACTCTGTCTGCACGTGTTTTTTTGGAAGCATGGACGGGATTATTGATTATTAAGTTTGCGGGATAATATCATTGAATTGCGGTGGCTGGGGGATGATACTTGAGTTCCGGACTCGTGTTATTTGCTTCTTGGAATTGAGGGGGCGTGCAGTATTAACCTGAGGTCAACACTGCTCTTTGTGATGCTGCTCCAGTTCAGTTGAGGGGTTTGTTCCATGCAGCGAGTGGCCAGCAACTCTTTGCAGCTCCAGTCATGTTACAAAGACGCCAGTCTTGCAGTTCCAAGAAGTGAAATGGCAGTTGGGGATGCTAGTGTCGTCGGAACATGTCCGTCAATTTTGTTTGAACCTCAAATTTGAACAGCACGGGTGCTTTAGGTATTCCCCCCCATTCTTGCGTCTGATCCCGTGGCGGTCTAGTGGGGCCGGAGAAGTTGCAAAGTTAGACCCGAACGGGATGCATGTGTCCCCTCGTGCCTGCCGTAAAGTCGGCAGGTTGGCTTTTGAGGTGGAATCCCTTGCATTCCCTTGCTCTATGATCACTCGCAACAAGTGTCGAGCAGATGTGCGGGACTGCTGCGGGGAAAGTGACGGACCAACGAGCTGCAGTCATTCGATGCAGACAAAAACGAAAGGGCCGAACACTGGGCTCTTAGTGTCAGCCAGCAAGTCCGCCCACCCTCTGAAGCTCAGTTCTGGTGACTGAGATTCCAAAAGCTAGCGAGCAGAACCCTAAACCCCAAGCCCTAAACGCTGAACTGTTGAGGGTCACAATGTTCGAGCCTTGGAGATGGCTTGGGCAGTTCTCTCCGGCTTGGGGGAGAAGAACACCTCGGGAAAGTGCTGTGGCTGACGACAAGGTGTGTGTGCAGCAAGAAATGGCCCACTGCAGCCGCGTAGCAGTGTGGACTACCTCCATGGAGTCTTGAGAAGGTCCCTGAAACTCCAAACCAGCTTCCGCGGTGTAAGCATTCGCAAGGCGACAGGCGAGCCTCCTCGAATTGGAGATCGAAGAGGCCCCCATTTGCAGCCACGGGCCGCGTCGTCAGCTTTGCACCCGAGCCACGAGGCCTTGGCAAGCTGTCCCATCGGAGTGGCGAGAAAGAGTGTTACGATTTCACTGCGGATCACTACTGATAAGTCGGGCACGAAAAATCCCGAACATTGATGCCAGCTTCCCCAAAAAGCTCAACTGCGCCAATCAAGAGAACGGGCCGAATGAGACCACATCCCAGATCCGCTCATTCCTACGGCCCCGAACTGGGTCCTTTGCTCTCTTAGCTTTCGATCATGTGTCAAACCAAAGCAAATCAGTAAGTAAATTCGACAGTTCAATCCTAAGGGGCCTTCAACGCCATGTACTGCCTCGAGGAGTGTCCCGAAAAACCCCGCGAGGATAAGTTCTACAAGGTTAAACGTCGAGCCCTGGCCGAACCCAACGAAGACAGCCAACAGGATAGCCGATGGCTGTGTGCGGCTGCGCCTAACGGACAAGACCTCCTATCCTATCGACCGTACTGTACCACCCAGGCTGTATGAATCCATGTAATGTTCAATACCGGACAAGGCTCACTCGAAAGGACACTCGCCAATCTCCACGGCTGCCCTGGCACAGAGCGCGAGCCAGTTGAGAGTGCTGTCTCCGACGTCTCTGCCAAAGAAAATCGGTGCTCGCGGCTTGAAGGGTGCGCAGCTTTACCGTCAAAGCGTGGGGCAAGACGTGGTTCGCAGCTTTTTCGGTACTCCTATCAGGCAGGATCCAAATCACCACTCCATGGACTATCATGTGGCAGTTCTGTTGGGGCCCCCGATTGATCGAATCTCACTCTCACATTTAGCCTGTCTCCTGACTTCCGAAGACTTCCTGTGCCTTTTCACTTCGTGCTCGAATCAAACGGTGTACTTTTGCAGTTTGCATGTACGAGTAACAAATGCACAGCCCCTGGAGAGAAAGCATGTCGCCAAAGCAGGCGCTATCACCTAGCCTCTGGCTGCAGCGTGAATGGCACGGCGCCGTCCTTCGAGATGTGCACATTTCAGTGCAGAGATGCTGAAACAATGGTCCTGCATAACATGGACAAGTATTATTATTTTTTTTATTGTTATTATTACTTTTATTGATATTATTACTCTTATCACTGTCTGCACCAGCATCAAAACATCAACACCAGCAGCTCCGCAGCTCCAGCATCATCAGGAGCATCCTAATAATAGTAATAATAACAGTAGAAGTAATAAACAAATATTATAAGAAGAAAAATAATAATGGTAATACTAATGATCATGATAAAAGTAATAATAGTAACTGATCCTGGCTGTTGTTGTTGTGGTTGTTGTATGCTATTTGTCAGCATCATCACCACTGCCCGGCCACGGCTGCGTCGACAAGGATAGCGCAGAAGCACAGCAGCACTGAGGCCACAACTTCCTGCGCTGTCCTTCGAAATAAGACTATTCTAGTCGTGTTTTCTTTTATGCGCATGCATGGTGTCCATCCTCCATGCAGGGTACCGAGAGTCAAACTGCAGAAGTCACACAGGCTAACCGGTCTAGATGGCCTCTGAAAAAATGGTATGCCCCCCGCTGCGTTGCGTTGCTCATGCGCATTACAAGCGACAT